CTTATTTGTAGAGCACTTTTCAAAAACAAGTTACAAAGTGCTTTAACAAGTGTAAAGAATAATACAAAAAAAAAATTAGTTTAAATAAAAAATTATAAAATTAGTAAAATACAATAAAATAAAAGGGATAAAATAAAGTCAAATAAGATCGGGAAAAGCTCTCCTATAAAAGTATGTTTTAAGAAGGGACTTAAAAGAGTTCACTGACTCAGCCGACCTGATTTCCTCGGGCAGGCTGTTCCAGAGCCTCGGGGCCCTGACAGCAAACGCTGTGCGAGAATTGAATAATTTACTCACATTTAAAATAAACACCTTGTTTCGCTGCATTTATGGACACAGGGTGCTAAGGAGGCTGCAGCACCTCCTAAAAACAGGCATTATAAAATCCATCTATTGATCAAAAAGTGTGACGCAGACTTGCATGTGACCAATAGAGAAAAAGCTCATGTGGATGACCGAGAGGGAGGGAGCGTGCAAATATGATAGCAATGTTGATGTGAAATAAAAACTTTCTTTGCTCATGAAGCCTAATGTTACTCTGTAGTTCTGTGGTCTCTGTGGTCTCGGACTCTCAGTTAACCGCGTTATATACGCTCCCTCACAGCACCCGTTTATTATAAACTATAAAGATTTGGTCATGGGTCATATTTCTCTCCTCCAGGCGCTGTCAATCTCTTTTCATCTCCCTGCACTTCTCATGCATTAGTTCCTGTAGTTGACAGTGTAGCGCTGCTTTTACATACAATATATTAGTTTTTAAATTTTACTGTCGGCTGTGGTGTAAAACGTACTCTCACTGTTGTGATTTGTTGTTAATAACTATTACATATGTTATCTTGGCCATTCAAATGAATATGAAAAACGTGAATATCTTGCACCATTTAGTATGACGTCATTATATAGACTGACGTCTTTACTCCCTGTGTAGGGGAGACCAGGGTTGGTCACTTCACTCTCTGCCTATTTCTCTGGCATAATTCATGTTAGAATAGGCTATTTGATCCAGTAGCAATTGAAATGTTATAGTCTCCGCATATATGCAAAATTGATGATTTGTGATTAAAGTCTTGTTGTGCATTTGTGCCAACCATCATGGGGTTAAGGACAACCAAGAAGTTGGAGACAAAGAGAACAATCTTTCTTTGTTGAGTTGAAGGGCCTGAAAAGATTAAGTTGGAAATTCAGGTCAGTAGAGGTTTCTCTTTAGTCCAGACCTGAGAGTCCCAAGTGAGGATGGATTTGATGCTATATGCCAGCCTGCAGGACAGCAGATTTGCTCTGATGTGGCTGTGTAGAATCTCACAAGAATTGCTAATGCTGTGGGAAGAAACAAGTCAGGATTTTTTATTTTAAGTACAGCAGCTCAGTTGGGTTTAGGCTGAGCTTGAGATCGTGTACAGACATACAAACAACTGATGCAGGCCTCAACCTGACTGTCAGGAAGGACAAGAGAGGCAGAGTTTAATGCCAGCGACTTGGCAAGAAGTAGGAAATGATGTGTGAAAGAAGATCAGGTCAGACATCTTCTTCATGATAAAAATGATAAGTTCAGTCATTGGAAACAATGAGTGTGCACATCCAGAAATCCTCTTGGCGGCTTGTGTTGGACTCTGGAGATTGACAGTATCAAAGGCTTTGAAAAAGTCTGGGAGAATAGACTGAGGTAGACAAAGAAGTTTAAAGGGACAGTTCAACATTTTGCAAAATTCACTTATTTGCTGACTTTTTAAGAATTAGAGGAGACGATCGATACCACTCATTAATACGGTAAATATAAGGCTACAGCCAGCAGTCGGTTAGCTTACGTTAACACGAAGCCTGGCTCTTTCCAGAGGTAGCAAAATCAGCTTACCACCACCTCTAAAGCTGGCAAATGAACATGTTTTTTTAAAATTTAATTTTATTTAATCAGTACAGAAAATGAATTGTAAAAATAACAAGTTGTGTTTTAAGGTGGGGTTATGTGGCCAGGAGCAGTTCTAGTTACTGTTTGTGCTAAGCTAAACTAACTGGCTGTGGCTTCATATTTGCCATACAGTGATTATATTGATCTTCTCGCCTAATTCTTGGTAAGAAGGCAAACGTTTCTCAAAATGTCAAACTATATTGCTTTAACTGTGTGCAAAGATGGGGACTCGAGTTAGAGACTTGGACTCCAGTGCGACTTAAGTCGCGACTTGAGACTCGTCCTCAAAAGACTTAAGACTCGACTCGGACTCGAGGCGCGGGACTCGTGGACAATGTTCATTTTTTAGGAAACGTCTGATGAGATTGCCGTTATTCCCTCCCTCCGTTACCTATAACCTGCCTACGTAACATCTGCTGCGCGCGGCCGCACGTGAGAGAGGACAACAAACACCGGAAGCTGCGGTGCCATTTATCATAAACTTTGGCTTTAAAACTTCATACAACAAGACCCAAATAAAGAAGCGCTGAACGCAAAATAGGTTAGTAACCTGTGGTGAGTAAACATGCTTAGCTCAGCATTGATCATCTAACGTTAGCTTGCTTCCTGCTTCAGCTACGAGCTACGGGAGGTTAACTCTGACTGTCGTTCGTTATGAAAAGATGAACGAGCGTTTGTTAACTTGCCAAACTTGTGGTGGTTGGTTAACTTAATCATTTACGTCCCGCTGGCTGCCATCACGTTAATTATTGCCGTTGGCTGGAAAGAGGTTACAGTTTTATTTAGTTATAGACTAACATTACACTGGTTTGAGAGTCTGGGGGATGTGTTGACTTACAGTAGTTTATAAGCTGTCATTAACTGCATTGCACATTACATGGTTGTGCTCTGTAAGTTAAAAACATGTTACAGCTTTATTGTTGACCATGTAACTTTACAGTATTATTTAGTTAACTTTACACTGGGTTTGAAACTCAACAGGGTTCGTTGACTTACAGTAGTTTACAAGCTGTCATTAATTGTAGAGGCATTGTACATTAGGCTACATGGTTGTGCTCTGTAAGTTAAAAACAGACAGATTTATTGTTGATTGTGCAACGTCACAGTTTTATTGACTTACAGTATTTAATAAGCTGTCATTAATTGCATTGCACATTACATGGTTGTGCTCTGTAAATGAAAAACAGGTTAACAGTAGTTTTATTAGCAACCTAGATTGAACGCAGCAGGTGATACAACATTCGTAATAACCACGAGAGACTTGACTTGGACTCTAGCTCAAAGACTTGTGAGCATCTCTGACTGTGTGTACTGACGGGAAGTCAAATCATTTGCTCTTTGTTTAAAATAATGACAATGGCGGAGAAAGGTGACAATTAAATCAGTGACTAACATTTTAACACATCCCCATGCTGTAACTGTGGACAGCTGCCTTTGTAAACACGACAGGGGGTCCTTTGACCTGAATAACATTATGATGTCCAGATGCATCACATTCTTGGGGTATGAACCAAAGGCAACATCCACATTGCTTTAATAGTGTTGCCAAATGCTAATCATTAAGTGTCTCTTCCCCAGCAGTGCATTTAATTAAACTGTTGTTTGATGACTTGATGTTACTAAAATGTTAAATGATAAAGACCTACTTTGGCCGAGTCAAATGCCTTTGTTTTCACATGGCACTAATAATGAAAGCATGACTTGATACAAGCTTAAACTTACTTACTTCAATTATTTGAAGCTTTCAGCCACATCTCATGGCCTTCTTCAGCAGATGTGGTTGATCAGCTGTAATGGAAGGCCATGAGATTGAAAAAAGTAACCTCTTTCCCTCTGTATGATGAACAACATTACAATCTCTTTAGCAAAAATGAAATCTACGTCATATTGACGTTTTAAGAAAAGTAATTTTCTTAAGCTTGATAATGTGCTATGAGGCAAATACACAAGGCTGCTTTCTTTCTTTCAGTTACAACATTTATTATTTTATGAGTTGTGCTGGACAGGAAACACTCATCTCCATATCTTAATGACAACAATGTTGATTGAGCAATTCGTCTCTCACCTCATGGCCTTGACATTTTGTTGAGCTATCCAAGAACAGGAAACTCTATTTATGTAAGAATATACTTATTGCCTTTGCCCGTGTTTCACAGGTAAAGATCACCATAGAGAGAGACATTACTTCACTATTAAACTCTTTAACCATGTCATTGTAACCCTGCTCCATTTCGGCATCGTCACTGAGCAAATACTGCTGTATGGGAGTGGGCATGTATTTTACATGTTCATATGTTCACAGATAGGTAAATAAGTACGTATTGTACTGAATACTTCATCCTACTGCATATTCTAAGATGTTCCATGATCAGTTTTCTCACAATATAATCGCATCAGTGTGCAGCATATTGTCAATAAAAAGGACACTTATGATTGGGAAAAAGGTTTTGGAAATGGTCGAATTATACCAGACTGGCAATAACCTTAGCAAAGGATTCAAAAGTTAATGTTTTCTAATATTAGTTTGACTTTAATGCTTCAATTACTCTCTGCGGTCGTCTAAAGTTTTCCACTGTCTGGGTGTCTCTCACTGAGGCATGTGCTGTCTTGTTCTTAACCACCAACCCCTCCAGCAGCAAGGGCTTCAAACCTGCCCTGTCCTGTCTCCAAACTCCAGACAGACAAAAATACCTACCTGTAATATACAGCTAAAATAATAAAATGAGCAGAGAAAACCACTGTTTCTGCTGCAGACTCCTTTCATTTGGACTTCACAAAGATCCTTAGCAGACATGTCTAGTAGATGAAGATAATATAATGGGTCTTTTTTGGATATCATATGACATGTAGGAGCAACATTTAAATTGAAATTCCATTAGAGAGAGCTACTGGTAATCTAAAAGTGTCTTCAATCATACAGGCATTAAACATGTTTCATATGCTGTTGGCCAAACAAGTTCTTCTAACAACTCCATCAAAAATGAAGAAAAGATTTTAACGTTTCGGTCACATTCATTCTTTCTTGCAGAACATGATGCAGCATGCAGGTTTATTTTTAAACCAGACAATGATGACCCATAGCAAACAAGCTAGATGTCGTTGGCAAACTTCACAGTTTATTCTAATTCAGATTCAGACGTCAATACTATGAATCACCACCATGAAGCCAACAAAGTAATCATTCTTGCAATTTCAAATGTTTTTCAAATGGATACAACACTAAGGCCTTTCCTTGTCAAGCAGGTTTAAATAGCTGGAGAACTGCGCTCAGTAAAACCTTAACTCCTTGAAATTGAGTAACAGGATATGGACTGATATTAAACAGTTCTTGGTTTTATTCAGTGTAGTTATCCGACTAATCCAGTTGTCTTTTTTGTGAGAAAGACCCCAAAATAACTGCAATGCAAAACATATAGTCTACAATGAACCAAACCAAACACTGGCTTTTTGTTTTACTAAAATAATGTACAGCTTTACAGGGAATCCAAAACAGCACTTTGGAATTTAGCAAAAAAACCACAAAGAACATCATTAAAATTAATTTAAAAAAAGCAACACTTCACAAGTCTAGTCTGAATAGGGATCCTTTTATGATTTACTTCCCTTGTGCTGTCTTGTGAGCTGAGGAATGAGATGCATCAAGTGAAAAAGCTGAAACACAAATCCTCCATCAGGTATTGATGTAAATGTTTGTCCATTAATACCAGAAAGAAACTGCTCATCTGCTGCGGGAACAAGCCACAGCCTCCAGCTCCATCGAGCAGCATTATCCTCCGTGTGCAGACAGCATAAAAAACATTTCAGTTTGTCGCACGTCCAAGCAGTTTGGTCTTAGTTTGAGTCCTCAATCCTTCGGAAAACTGCGAGGAAATTCTTCCCTCCATTTCTCTGCACTTTCTTTCCTTCCTCTGTACAGGTACCCAAACGGTTTATAATGACATCACTGACCTGTTAAAACAAAATTGAACACAATTACATTAAAGGCTGCAGTGTCACGCTATTCAGTCATCACCACAGTGTATATTATTGTATTCAGTAATGTTAAGTTTCCTTTGTTTGTTTTTTTGTTTTACACACACGTAACTTATTTTGTCTTACACTTAGCTGAAGGTCAGTTTACCCACCATTCCATCTCTTATTCTTTCATTAATGTAAACATTACCAACATCTTAAAGGAAAAGGTTTGAACAACAAATGTTGTCGTCATGACCTGCAAACACAGGGATGCAAAGGTGCACGTCAACGTACCAGTTCTTCATCGGGGACACGTGTAAACAGCGGATGTTCAGTGAAATGCTTCACCATCCAGATGTGTACTTCCTCCACATCTGTAATGGTATACACCAAACCCTGACATGACCAGACAGACACAGGGAGGTTTTTAACACAGTACTGGGGAAAATAAGTGACAGCTTCACTCATGGCTAAACACAGATCCTTATAAAATAAACCAGTGGCATTTATAAAAAACATTTTTCCTTTAAAAAAAAAAAAGTTTAATATTTCAGCCTCAGAGTTATAGGTTTCATCACTTCTGGAGAGCAATGGTCCTTGCTAAAAAGATAAAAATAACCTACAGACAACACAGAGGTTAGTCACCTATGTCACTGTAGTTTACTTTGGATGCTGGACAGATAACGTTACTAGAACACGGATTTCTTAGAAAACTCAGCAACGGCACAGATTTCCACACCAGTGCATGTAGGCACGTATGTGTTTTGTTTCAGAGAAGGCAGGATGAGGAGGAGAGTGTGCCTGTTGTCTGCACAGATTCATGTTCATCACACCAGCTTACTGTTTCATGTGAAGTTGATAGTAACAAACGGTATTTACTAATAAACCATAGACTAGGGTGCCGCTATAAATTAGCATTTTCTCGACAGCCAACCCCACAGAACAGTTATGGCTGAGTGCCACTGCTGCCTTGTAGAGCTTACACACACACACACACACACACACACACACACACACAGCATATCCATGCACGAATGCATCAATGCGCACTCAAGGGGGAAAAACGGAAGCCAAATTTTGACACAAGCCTTCCATTGTTCCAAACAACCTCCATCAGCGCTCGCACTATGTCCCACTGTTGCTTTGACAGGCAGACGCAGGGTGTGCAGAACTCAACCAGCTGCAGGCCACACTGGTTGCTCAATTTCATTTCAGTGAATTCAACGATTTCTGCACACTGCAATCAATTGATAAAATGAAGCAGAGTGGCAACTTGTTGTTCAACTATTAGTTGGTTTTTCACTGCTATCATTAGTCTATGTCTCTTGTGTTGGGATGTGGCAAAGGTTTCAGTTGCAGATATTTAAAAACCTCTGATATAACCTGAACTTAAATCCACCACAGCGAGACAGTTGCACAGTCACATGTTCCTTCATTATGATGAACTTCGATCCCACATACACCGTTCTGCTGTCGTAAATACTTGATAGTGTACCAAATGTGTGAAAATACCAAATGCGCTACTTAATGCTGTTTGATGAATGTTTTCTAAAAACTACAGTGCCCAGCTGTTTTTAGGAAATCCTTTAGCCATTTTTGTGACCTATTTTAATTCAGTTCACTCTTCAGCAGCAGAGTGCTGCAAACAGTGTGCGCAAGTACCAGGACCAAGTATAGAATAATACCTTATCCTTTAATGGAGATATACCACAAGGGGTAAATGGTAAACTCAGTTTTCCCCCTGTATTTTGCCTGATCTAACCATGTAGCAGGCAAATTTAAACTCAATTTTACATCTTAAATTAAAAACAAAGTGATTTAGAAAACAAACAGCGGCCTCATATCCACTGCATGGTACGGAAACCAGCGAATGTTTGGAATTTTCCCTTGATAAATTACATAAACAGTCACAATTATTGCAGATTAAATATCTGTTGCTTATGAACATACCCCGACTCTCAGTGTGTAGGCATACTCTGCTAACAATGTGGGACTAATGATCCTCCATTTGTGCTTGGTCTTCTTAAAGTGAGGGTCAGGGAAGAGGAAGAACATCTTACTGAGCTGAAAGACACACATACAAAAAAAAAAAAAAAGTCTGAAACAGTAAAGTTGACACAGACATTCCCAAAACAGATCAAAATAAAACTTTCTATTTTTATTGACTTTGATATGATGGTTCTAAAATGTACGAATGTCATCACTTAAATGTGGCCCCCATCATATTCTGTGGGGGTTTTCATGTGGATTGCAAAACTGGAATTTCCCTCGTAGAGTTTTTTCCCCATAAAGTTCCCCATGTCTGTCTTTGACAAGTGTACAAGTGAGGGCTGCGTTGATATTAGTCTGGCTGATACATTAAAAACCATTCCAGTTACTTTTTATTAGTTAAAATAAATAATGTCAGCTATAGACAGAAAGATGTGGGGATAATCACTGGGGACTGCTGCAGCCTCAGGGGCTGCTTTTGTGCTGATGGAAGATGGAAAAAATGTAAAAGTATATTTTGGGTTACAAAACATACGAAGAAGTAGGAAGAAAGTATTTCAGCTCTTTAAAATAATGCACTTTCAACAGTTGAACCACGTCATGCATGCGAGAAGGATTGGGATAAGATTTTGAGCACTAGACTGGTTGGTCGTTTTTTTCTCCACTTTGAAAATCTGGGTAGTGATAACAAGTTTGGTTCTAATCATGAGCAAAGGAGACAGCTAACACTAAAGCAAACTGCAGTTATGGAAAAAGATCATCATAATACGAGCCAAGAGATGCAGTTTATGAACGAGCTGAAGGAAGTACTTCTCTCAAACATTTGCCATCTCAGCTTGGCAAGAGGCCTTGTCATATTATTTAAAATGACCTGAAATAGAATACTAATAAATGTGTGTGTGTTTTTACATGACACACCTACAACATTCGTATTCCATTTGCAATTACTCTCCTGTAATCATTTCTTAGTTTACACTTGTTCGGGTTATTTGAGGTGAAGCTTTTTTTCCTGGGTACCTAAATTAACCCTGGTACACTAAGCCCACTGTGTAAGCTAATGCGAGTTTCAACAAGTCATAGATTACGGCAGCTAATTGGAATGGATAAATGGCGTCTTGCACTGATGTCTTGCGTGTCAGTCAATGACCCCATTGTTGTGAAATCCAGGATTTATTGAGCAATCTGTAAAAATTAATTCGGTCCATTCGTTAAACATGTGGAAAGTAATTTTTTTTTATCTAGAAACATTTGGGTTGAGTATTCTTATTAACCCTGGTGGGCCCGTTCATAATATAAGGTTATTACAGGCCACGTCAGATGTGCCATTATAGAACGGCAGGCCATTTTGTAAATGAGCTCCAATTCAGAACCAATTAATATATACGTGTTACTTCTACATATAATAAAGTATATAAAGGGTTAGTCCACCCAGTTTACAAAAAAATCTTCAGTTGTATTTAGCACATATACACTGTAGAGATTTTTTCTATATACCATGGTGAAACAATACCACCATTCAGGAAAGAGCATGTAATTGAAAAGACTGACAAAGTGCACACTGCCTACACACGTCACACTCTACCCCAGAGGACAGCTTCAACTGTGCACGTGGTATTGGTTAGTATTAAGGCTGACGTGGTGTGCAGATGGGCGAGTGGCACTCCAGCAGTTGCAATTCTATTCATGAATTTAACCTTGTGAAGGTCCGAGGACAGAAACACTGTAAATAAAGTTAATACAAGTAATCAACAGTGGGCAGGATTTTTTGGTTCAACGTTGGTGTCAGTGCAGTTATTAACACCCAGAAGAAACCATGAATGAAAGCATTACTGGGTGCACAGAATCTAAGAGATGCTGTATTTAAAATAATTTCCAGGCAACCTTAAACTTTAAAACAACAAACCTGCTGTTGTTTCTAGTGTTTTCAGTGTATTTGTTAGTTCATTTACAATCCATCAAGGCTGCGATAAACAGTTTCTTAGGTTTGATTAAATCCAAGGCAATCAAGGTGTTTTTTAATATTGCTATATTTTTACACTTATAGTAGTATTTAGGTAAGTTTGATGTTTGTAGTGATAATACAGACCAACTGCCCATCACTGTAGTCATTTCCTACCAATACAGTCAGTTTTATGGTTAGAAAATCAAATCTAGACGTGTGGACTGGTCTGTTTTCACTGAGACTTCTCAATTCTGATTGGCTGAAAGGCGTGGATTCACTTTCAGTAACCGGACACCTATGATGCAGGTGCTCCAAATTAATGCTGTAAGTAAAGAGAGAAACGGTGAGGCTTAGCTAAAGAGCTGGGAGCCGGTGTTACTGTTACCAAAAAGTGAGTGAGACAAAGGATGGAAGCCGATCAATGCAGAAAAGTAAAAGAAAATCTCCTGTGATTACAACAAACAGAAACTAATGAAAATATCAACTGTGTTTGAAATCATCTTTTTTCCACAATACTACCTCAGTAAAAAAACAACACATGAGTTCTGCTGGAATTTATTGTATTATTTTTCAATCAAATTTTGGGAACGTTTGAAAATTGAAAGTTGAAAAACCAATTACCAACAAGTAATATTAAATGAGTTCTTCTACCAATGCACACAGCAGGCTAGGGAAAACAAATATCTAAAGCCTACTTCGTCAATTTCTTAATTGAAACTCTGACAGTTTATGTAGGAAAGAGCAGAGACTGGTTATTTTATCAGGAGGACAAACCTGCAACCTCTCAAGACCAAAACTTCCTGTAGTGGGAGAAAGACAACACTCCCAACTGTTCTGTCACCACACAGGTGCAAACCCACCTGTCCTTTAGAAAAGAAGTTGGGGAGGTACTTCATCGCATTGCTGCGAATACAGGCGATGTTCTGGTATCGTCCTGGTTCCGAGGCACGCAGTGACTGGATTCGATCGCGAACATAATCGGAAACTTTCACCCGGATCTCCAGGCCAAGGATGAGCTTGTCTGGGAAAAGTGGAGATAACTCCACTGTGAGTGAGGGTAAAGACACAAAGAGACATGAGGTCAATACAGAGCAGAACTATGACCTCTGACAATCAAAGGTGGTCGGATCAGGGACATAACTACCTAAAAGCCCCCCATATCCACATCCAATGTCTGCAAACTCAACCCGGGAGGTCTCCTTCTCAGAGGGGCTGCCAGTGAAGAGGTCTGGATACAGCTCGGACCAGTCCATTTCCTCAGGACACACAGGGCTGCGGAGGAAAGAGGGCGTTTCAATGCAATTGTTTTATAATGAAGAAATGTGTGCGGTGACACAGGGATAGTGTTTCTGGAGAGAGATGGTACTGCTGAATTTCTAAATGTCATTTTTCAATATTGTGAGCACCCACGTTATATTATAATATATATAACAAATCTCAGACACATCTCTCAAATCCTAAGCTAATAAAAATAAGAATAAAAACTTTTTTGCAGGCTACACACCACCAGGCCCAGGATTAAGTGAGGAGTCGCTTTCTTGTCAACTTCTACACTTATAAAACGCACAGTTGGGACTGATAATCTAAGCGTTAGCAGGCAGTGACAGAAAGTGCAGTGCAGGTATTAAACACATGGACACACTCACTAATCAAACGTGTGGTATGCCATCGGGTTTGAATGGGCTCGCTGTCTGTAGTAACGCTTCTGCGGCATTGACGAACTCATGTTGGATCAAAACAGAGACGTTACTCCCGAAAATATTCACGTAATTATCAAAAAACACACGTATCCACTTCTGAAAGTCGACTTCCAGACAGTCACGCTTCTTTCTAGTTAGTTTACCACCGCCACCTGTGAGTCTCGGCGGTTTTGCGTCATCACCAAGCGTCGCTCCGTTCCTTCTTCTTTTTTTTTTATGTCAGATTGCAACCATGACTTTTAAAGGTGCATACCGCCACCTACTGTACCGGAGTATGTAGAATGAACTACAGTCGTTTTTTTTTTCTTTATTGAAAATGTCAAGATTTACAGACAAACGTAAGTGCACAGAATCTGTTTCTACAGAATAGGATGCAGAGAAAATATAGCCAGAGGGAGCAGCTCTTCATACAAACAAGAAATAAATATGTAGTCTTAGTAACAAAAATGAGGATGATTTATAAAAGGAAAAAGAAACATTCAAATAAATAACAGAAATTATAACGTATGGGGAGAATTCAGTCTTTGTTCAGCCATTTACCTCCATTGGGAAGTGTTTTAGGGTATCATATTTTTTTGTGCTTTAGGACCTTTTAGAGTTTTTAAGAATTTTATGTATAGTTTAAATTCATTTAAAAAAAAAAAAAACTAATTTGGGAGATGACTTCACAATTCTACATTTGTGAATGAAAAATTTAGCTAGACATTCAATTTTATTAGTACAGAGCTCATCAACCTTGCTTTGCAATATCAATCTAAATGTTATGTTGTCTCTGGAGATAGAGGTTGGGAATGAGGACATCTGTTGCTTCACACACCAAAATGCCTGTATCACATTACATGAGAAAAACACATGGTCTGTAGTTTCGACATAATTTTTACAAAATGTACATGTGTCATCATCTATACCAAAGCGAAGTCTCAGTAATTCTTTAGAGGGGTAAATGTTGTTCATTACTTTGAAGTGTGTTTCTTTCACTTTGGGGGGTACTGTTAGATACATTGTTCTTAGTTTAGTAATTGAATCTTTATCAAATTTTTGTAGGATATTATTTTTATTTTACCTTTCAGGGTAAAGGTATTCAGTAAAACAATTTCTAATAATGTAGTTAGTGCATTTTCTATCCAGAACAAAGATCCCTTGAATTGATAGTGGGGCCAATTTTGGTTGTATTGGACCAAAATGTTTCTCGTTAGAAAGACAAATTCTTGGGGTAGTGCTCTATGTAATTTAGTAAAGTCTGATTTTAAGGGTTTGAAATTATGTTTGGTGCAAAATTGTTCATAATTTAAAAAATGTCCGTTGGTATCCATTAAGTCGGCTATGGACCATATATTTCTCCTGTACCAATCTTCAAAGAACAGAGATCAGTTATCTGTTGTTCCAGAGTACAGAGGTGTGGGGTGAGAAGTTATGTACAAATAACATTTTCCAATACAAGAGTATTTGTCTGTGAAACTCTGACAATGACATAGGTAATTTGTAAACACTGAAGTCCACTCTAAGAAGAAATTCTAATCCTCCAACTTTCTTGAAAAATGGTCTTTGGAATACAATACCAAAAGGAGTTGCTGTGTTTGATCCAAGATTTTAACCAATTTATTTTTAAGGTTCCATTAAGGCAGTCAAAATCAATAACTCTGAGTCCTCCATCCTTTGTGTCTTTAACCATACTGCTTTTCTTCATATAATGTGGTCTGTTTCTCCAAATGAAATTTAGGTTGATTTGGTTGATAGATTTAATCAATTTGTTTGGAATGGCATTGGAATAGGCTGGGTAAATGCATCTCGATAAACATCTTAGTTAGGTAAGTTTGACCTAGTATTGATAGGTCCCTCTGTAGCCATATATTTAGTCTTGACTTGCATTCTTTAATTTTATTTTCTACATTCAGAAGTTGGCTTTGTTTTTGGTCCTTAGATAGGTATATCCCCAGGTATTTAATTTCTGATTCAATAGGGATATCACAGATGTCTTTCTGTGAAGTGTCGTGTCCAGCAATTCACACTTTTTCACAAGTTTAATGTTAGGCCTGAGGCTTTGGAGAATTTTTGAATTTTGGCAATAGTTGTTGAAATTTGGTATCTATCTTTTAAGAATATTGTTGAGTCATCTGCTAGTTGGCTTATTATGTCTGTGCCAAGTACATTAAGTTTTTTCATATCATTACAGTTTTTAATATAGATTGCTAGCATTTCTGTCTAGAAAGAGAAGGAAACCATCATCCTCTATTTGGCTTCTATACTCAATGATGTCCATTAGCAATCTTATATTATTATGGATTGACCTTCCTTTTAAAAAACCTGACTGTGTATCTGCAGTAAGATCCGAAATCCCTGTTTGAAGACGAGAAGCGAAGATATAAGTTATAATTCTGGGATCTTTCCCAGGTTTTGGAATTGAGACGATAACCCCATGCGTTGTTCAACTTTCGGCCATACAGCCCTCAGTGCCTCTCTGTCTTCTTTGGTGAGGTCTTCTGCAAAAAAATCCAAACCTACATGGCCCTGTGTGAAAAAGTGATTGCCCCCTAAACCTAATAACTGGTCGGGCCACCTTTAGCAGCAACAACTGCAATCAAGCATATGCGATAACTCGCAATGAGTCTTTTACAGCACTGTGGAGGAATTTTGGCCCACTCGCCTTTGCATAATTGTTGTAATTCAGCCACGTTGGAGGGTTTTCGAGCCTTCACCGCTTTTTTAAGGTCATGTCAGAACATCTCAATCGGATTCAGGTCAGGACTTTGACTAGGCCACTCCAAATTCTTCCTTTTGTTTTTCTTAAGCCATTCAGATGTGGACTTGTTGGTGTGAAATTGAACTCATTTTTCCAAAGATGTGATAGGGCCATGTAGGTTTGGATTGATTTCCCCCCTTAATAATAAAAACCTTAATTTAAAAAGTGCATTTTGTGTTTACTTGTTTTATCTTTGTCTAATATTTCAACTTGTTTGATGATCTGAAACATGTCAGTGTGACAAAGAAATCAGGAAGGGGGGAAACACTGTTTCACACCATTGTATGTTCGTTGGGACTCCTTTATATCATCAAAATAATAAAACAACACAAAAACGAAAACAAACAAACAAACATTAAATCCTATTATATATCTCTATATTTTTCAGAAATTGTACAACAGCTTTCTGTGTATCCTTTACCCCATCTCTTGTTGTGCCTAATAAACCTTCAAGGTTCCACTTCCTTCCTGCCTGACTTATCTTTTGATTTAGCCTCATCCTCTCATCACTTTATTTCCTACAGTGTAAACAGTACATGTTCTGCACTTTCCTTGGACCTATATTCTAAACATTCATCTGTTTGACTTTTGCCCATTAAAAACAATGTTTTATTCAACGCTGTATGATCAAACCTTAGTCTGGATAAAAGTTCTCCTCTGTTCTGTTCCTTCTAGTCACACCCTGAGCATTAATAGATTTTGCAAACTGTAATATTTCCTTCCACTTTTATCCACATCCTCCTGTCCTGCCATTTCTTTATAATTCCTTTTTTGATTATCAACTTAGCTTCTCCTTTTCCAAGGGTAAATTTATGACATCATTAGTCCTGGTTGATTTTTTAGCTATTTTCTCTGCTTCCTTATTCCCTTTTATACCCTTTTATGGGCAAGTACCCAGCAGAATCTCACATCTATCTGATGTCTCTGTTATATAAATAAACTTTGATGGATTTCTAAATCTTCTCTATTAGATTTCATATTTTGAATACTATAAAGGGCTGCGACAGAATCAACACAATACACCACTCTGTCTGGTTTTACTTCCTCAACCCACTGCAGTCCCTTTGCCTGCCAGATGTCCTTTCCCACTCTCTTGACATTAGCTCTTTAGTTCCAATATCTTTAAGCCGCTCGGTTTCTTTTCGAAAGCCGCCTCATTTACCACTTCTGCTGGTCACTGCTAGTGTTACTTTATTATTTATTGCAGGAAATAAATATGCAAGATACTTTAACTGCAATACATTTGAACTACTCTGTCATATAGATGGTTAAAAAGTGGGATATGTCAAGAATAACTATCCTAGTTGTATAACACACATCACTAATGGTTGCCAGGTTTGTTGACAAATAGAAGTATCTATCTTGAAGAATCAACAATAAAAGTACACTATAGCATATGGGATAAACATAATGGGAGAGTATATCAACCCCAACCCCCATGCTGCTGTTGACAAAATAAGATAATTCCAGTGGAAAGTGTAGCTCAGCCTCAGTTAAATATCAAGACTACAGAGTTATGGGAATATAGCAAAATGAATACTTCCTGAAGCCACTCTATCTCTATCTACTCTATCTGCTCTTGTCCTGAAATGTGAGTCATTTCCCCGGCAGGATCCTAACTTACAGTCAAGCTGTTTTGCTCTCTGCAGGATAAAACTTCACCTCATGATTTTTAGTGTCCAAGCAGCCACACAGCCAGTGATTATTTTCACTGTGTTGTCTATTACATGAAATGCCGCAAATCCCCTCTGGGTGTCTTCAGAGTCAACTCTAATATCCTACTCAGGTCACTCTGTCGAGAACATGGTGACACATTACAGTTCCCTCCTGGTGTAAGGCTTTATGAGGGACTTGTTTATGAAACAGATGCACAGAAGACTCTCTGCTGCAAACTGAGATGTATCTCTTTAACCTCAGTTTTGAGAGGGGGGGCAAAGTTCTTTGGATATTTAGGCCCAGCATGTGTGATATTTGATTTTGCCTGCGAGAACTGGGTGCTGATCAACTGTAGACAAATGAAAGCAAAGCAACAGTAGAATAACATTAATATTTTTATTTGAAAACGTACTTCTCCTTAATTCCTTTTGCTAAACATAAAATATCCCCCTTTGCTTTACATTGAAGTTCATTTGTGATCAGTACCTTCATTTTTAATCCTTAGTAATGATGATCATATTAAAATAAGATGAGTAAGGTTCAACTGAAGGTATAGATTTAAATTAAAATGCAAAAACAATATTCATCATGGCATTTCATAATACAAATTTAAACAGGTATACAGGGAATGCTGTGAAGTGCAGTATCGTAATGATATCTGAGTAGAGGAAATTTGAATAATACAGAATTAAATTTTAAACAAATATCTGTCAGCTGTTTGACCAGGTAACATTGTTTTTGGAAATTATTTATTGTATTTTTTTAACTTATATTTGTCCATTCATTTATTTATTTATTTATTTAGTGAGATTTGTGTAATCCCAACAGGAAAAATCCACTCCGGATATATCAAGAGTGTCACATTTGTCTTGTTGCCTAAAAACAAGACAAAACAAAATAGAAAGTTTTCTTTTGAAATCGACAGTCTTTATTACAAAACATGAATTGAACTTGTGTATTTTAAGCATTTGTGTCATGTCTCAAAGTTTTATCGGGCCTTTTAATGTCTGATTCAACAATGCTGCTTCAAGTGGAAATCTAGCCGATCATGGCGGACCCTCAGGAATATGTTGAATAAATTAGGGGGGCTTGGGTTGGTATGGCGGTCACATGAGTAGAAGCACAATCCTTTTCACCATCAAACGCTCTATGATAGAGTCAAATCCAAAACAGTCGTTTTATTTTTCTCAGCAAAAAAACAACAACCAAACAGTTGTTGAATGACATTTTGTAACATGGTGGTAAAAATATTTAATAGCTTAAAGAATCAAAGCTTTCTGCTTTTCAAAATGTGTATTTTTTCCCCTTATTTGCCAAGTTTTCACAGTCTGTGTCTTAGATAAAACTGCAATGTCCCCTCTTTGCGCAAATCTGAGAAATATTTCTCGTTTTCCACTTTGACCTCAGTGGAAAGAGAATCTGCAAGCAAAATATGAGACTAGAAGTTAACAGCAGTGTTAATGTGGCAGGTTAGGATTTTTATTAAATGTATTAATATTTTATTAAATCCTAATCAACACTTCTCCTCTTCAAACAGCGGAGCACTTTTATAACCCAGCCTCATACAGTCGTCACCCTCATGACCACCTCTTGGTTGGTACGGTGCAGGTTGTTGGGTCTTAACTGGCTGAGGATGTGCAAAATTGTATAGCCACAGTGGTGGTTGAGAATAGTCCTGACGTGTCGACTCGCCCCCCGGCCGCTGTCTGTCACAGTGTGAGAAGAGTTCCTCTCAACACGACCAGCGCCTTTACTGCTGGAACTGATGGGGTCACCTAAGTCCTTCGCTTTCTCATAATTCAGCACTTTCCACTGCTGGTTCACTGCCTGCCAGCGCTTAAAGATCCGGTAAACAGACGACCCTTCATGGATTATAAGGCCTAGACATAAAGGACAAAAGGTGGGGGAGGTCAGTGGCAGTTAACAGGATTACATATAGACAAACAGTTGTTTGTTGTTCTCAAAAATACTGAACTTGTTTGTGGGCATTTTGGACTGATGTTTGGTGAGAAACATATGTTGATGAAAATCTATTCAAAAGAATGTAACAAATATACTCATGTAATACAAATGTGTTATTTTATTTATGTGAGCGCGTTTAGAATAAACAAATATGCACATGGATGCATTATCAAATTAAGAAGTATGTATTGTATAAACTGTCTCCAATAGAGAGATAATATTAATGATAGCAAGTAAGATTAATAAGGTATTTTCAGCCATGCTAGCAGCACGGCTCTACTGATGGCAGTGTTGGTCTGACCAAATACCCTGCAAAATAATGACATCCCCATTAGCCTCAGCAGTACTTCCTGTTTAGTGCTGATTACTTGCAAATGTTAGCATGCTAACACACTAAACTAACATGTTAGGGTGATCAGTCGTTTTCTACACTTGTCTTCCTTCACTTTACCTTTGTCACCCTCTTCTCCTTCCTCTCCAGTCTTTAAGAGAATAGTGACACAAGGAGAGTGGAGAAGAGCAGACAGAGGAGGCACAATGGCTCTTCCCATGAAATGGGAACATGATGAGAGAATTTTCATTTATACATTCATAAGATGAAACAATGGTTCACCGCACCCTTTGTAATTCCTCTTTTTAAATTGGCAGCGGGGAAAAAACAGCAGCGGTAGAACATTAAGAGACAAAAAAGCATAAATCCTCTCTGATTGCCCATGCTCGTGTGCCCTCTGTCACCACATTTTTCAAGAAGGTACAGCATCCCCAAGAAGAATAAGATTAAGCTGTGCAGGGAGCTTGTCTTTGAGTGCCACACTATGTGACACACTCATAGTTACAGATCCACGGTCTGCACAGCACAACTGACACGGAGGCTTTATGAGCCAAAGTTTACGTGTGCTGTGACACCATAGAGAGGAACGTGTTAGCACAATTTAACTACTTTGGTAAAACAGGGTCTAGAACAGGTTGAATGGCGTCTAATTGTGGACATGTAGCCTAAAGCTGCTGCCAGTAGTAGTCAGATATTGTAACATATATGATGGCAGCAAATCTGTTGAAATAAAACCGCTTGATTTTGTTGAACTGAAAGGAGAAACACAGGAAACTGCAGCTGAGGTCCTGGTGGTCATTCTCTGCCGACAACACAAATACCAACTATGGGGGACTGAATAGGCTGGGATTACCCAATATTATCAGTTGAACATAACGCCAGCATGTTAGCATGGTCATGGTTAGCATGCTGAAGTTAACATTCAGCTCAAATCACTGATGTGCCTTCAGTCAGTACAGCCTCACAGAGCAGATAGCATGGCTGCAGATTCTTGGTAATAAGGTACTGTATGTAAAAGACTTACTTAAAAGCCAAATTGGTAAACGCTTTATTTACGAGTCACTATTTACTTACCTAAATAGCTTCCTGGAAAGTATGTAATTTGGTACTAATGATTGGGGAAAGAGGAGTGCCCTTGAAAGAAATGCTTTATTTAAACCCAAGTTAATATTCATTCGTTATTCATTCATCATTGGAAATGTTATTATTTATATATCTATGCTTGCTTGTAGACAAATTGCCCACTTTTGCATCCTCAACTGACATGTTGTGCACTGACCTAAATACTCTCTAGACAGCAATTTACTGGAATTAATAAAGCGAACCATAAGTATATGGTGCACCATAAGTATACCATTAAATGCTGTCTCTGTCTTGCTGATAAATAATGCCAAATTACATTGTTCTTTCTGTGAAATTAGGAAATTAAACACGTAAAATAAAGCATTGCTCCTAAATCTAATAAAATGACAGTCAAACTCGTTTATATTCCAAACAACCATGTCTGCGAAAATAACACAACGTGGCAGCTCCACTATCCGAGTCTTACCTATACAAACTACGTCCATGAAGCCATACATGCCGTAGCATATCTGAAAGAGAAGGTCCTGCCGCTGCCATTTGGCTGAGGGGCTGAGAGAGGACCACACCAACCAGGAGATACTGGCAATGAGGAACAAGGAGCCGAGGATAATGGCCGCAATCTGCACCTTCTCAATCACAGTCAGGGAAATGGCCTGCCACTAGAAAAGACAGAGAGACACAAAAATGGACTAAAATCCTGCACTGATGTAAAGTAGCCTACTGTTCATGCAGCTTGTTGAGATGATTGAGACTGTGTCAATATACCACTTACAAAGAAAGATGTTGAGTAAAATAAAGTAATTAAGTTGATTCACTGTCCAAATCAGGTGATCTTGTCGCCCCCTCGTCTAGTTTTGTTAGTTTTGAGAATGCTTGCTGTGAAGATTCAGTATTAACATGTATATATAAGACAACTGAAGTTTCCCTGACTTTACCATCAAGGTTGATTGTTGATGTAGAGGACAGATAGTCTGTTTGCCAGCTAGCTCTTTAGTGTGGTGAGTCAGCTCAGGTGCCCCTACTTCCAGTATTTGACAGTGTATGTTAAGATTACTGCTGACTGACTTCTGTGAGCCAAATGCTTTCTTGTCCCAGTTGACCCTTTGCTAAGCCACGCCCCGAATACACAGCTGGCCAATCACAGCACAGTATAGGACTCGCTCTAACTGAAGTTGGACACTTTCATGCATGCGCTCCATTGACTCCAATGTAAAAAGAGTGAGTAATTTCCCAGCTTTTTTTGGCTATATTTTTCTAAGATAGGGTCAAACATCGTTCCTGGGGCACTTGTAATAGTTACAGTCACTACCCAGAGAGGTTGAAAGTACGATTTATTCTTTTTCCAAAACTTAAAATAAATCCAGAAAATCCATCCATCCTTATTCTGCGGGGGGCTGCAGCCAATCCCAGCTGGCATCGGGCGAATAAATCCAGACAATTTTGGGCAAAAAAGATTTCGACTGTGGATCTTCCTAATGTAATGTTAGTTAGCTAACGCTAGGTAACTTCCTACTGAATGTAACGTAATAAAGCCCACTCATCTGCTTTTTAATGATTGAGGCCTACCCAGCTGTACAGGAATAGTGTTGATCCTTAATATCGTTGTCTTTTGTTTCAATCGTCGGGGGATGCAGTGGTTCACTGATCAGTAGGCTTTAGCTTCTATCTTTCATTTTTTTCACGTCCCTTTGAGTCAGTTTGACAGCCTGAATACAACCTTCAAATATATAATGCAACTGCAAAACTGTCTGCTTCTTTCTGAGATCGCTTTTTGCAACTAATTTGACAATATTTATCCTGGGAGTGCAGTAATAGACAGTGGCAGCGCCGACAGTTTGTCGTAGGTACGGACAATCTCAACACTGACAGGCTATCGCGACTCACCGTCATGCGACTTTCTCACATGAGTTGAAAATATTCAAGTCACGCGAATTCCTTCCCGTCGCGGGCCCCGCCCCCTTCGCGTTGCTTCGCGCCGCCCGGCAGGAAATCGTTGCTCTACGCGTCTTTGCATTGACTTTGTACGTAACCTCACCGTCCCAAACGCTCGCTTCGCTTTTAGTCTGAATGCACCATTAGCAACAGTAACTAAGGGGCTTGGCGAAGAGTCAATTAACTCTGGGTTTCCGAGTGTGAAGCCATCCAGCCATCCATCCATTCATCCATCCATCCATCCATCCATCGTCAACCGCTTATCCTGCGTACAGGGTTGCGGGGAGTGTCAAGCTACACCTTCAAATTGACTACGGTGCTTTGTCATTCACTTACTACGTGCAGTCACTAAAGAGCATTTCTGAGCCTCTGCTGCTCAGGCTATCACCATAGACTGTATAAAAAAGGGATTTTACATACATAATATTATTTTTTAAATATAGTAAATTAGAGAATGAATTTACTTTATATATATTTTTATATTATGTATGTAAAAGCCCTAAAGTAAATTAGAGATTCCCCTGTACACAGGATAAGCGGTTGACGATGGATGGATGGATGGATAAATTAGAGAATTCCTAAATGAATTAAGTCAGCCATTTCACAAACACTATGCCAGTTCTCCAAAAATATTCTATCCATAATGTTCATTCAGAGATGCAGGGATTGTCTGATAATCTCTTATGCAGCATTCAGGGGCAGAAATCGTTTGGCGATACTGTCTGTTCGTCTACCGTCTATGTGCCACACACTTCGGTTAAATCATGTGCCAACTCTTTGAAATGTGCAGTGTCTCATATGTGTTCTTGGCATCTCCATGTCATTTCTCCATTAAAAAAAAAACTGAATAAATAGCTCTATGAAAATGGAGGCTGCTCGCTCTTTATCTGTCAACAGCAATGTGAAGCTAATGAGCTTCTTGTTGGGAATCAGTGAATGCTGATTAGACAAAAATCCGTCCAAAATGCTTATGTAGTGGTGGTAATGTAAACACTGCATGGCCTCTACTGTATGCCATTACATTCACCTCAATATCAATGGCTGCTAATGTGATTATTATGCTTTTCGCACCCGGCAACATAAATGTGTGCATGGCTTTCTGCCATATACCCTGGCAGTCTGTCATGGATTTTATTCATATAGCTCCTTTAAATGTTTGTTTTCCAGGGAACATTAACGAAGGAGAGAGAGAGAGGGAGAGAGAGAGAAAGAGAAAGCGACTCTGTACCTGCAGTGGGTTTTTGGTGCTGATGGCCAGGACCTGGTACTTGAAGTAACAGAGCTCACAGCTCCAGGAGCCTCTCTCACTGATCCAGCGGATAAGGCAGGACTGGTGAGTACAGCGCACAGAGCCAGCACAGCGACACGGGCTCAACAACTCCCCCTGCAGGACACAAGAAGCAGCTGCATGAGACACACAGGTTCTTGAATCTGCCTGTTACAAGGTAAAGATAAAGATATTTATGATGAATAGCCCAACCTGGAAATCCGCAGGCCTGACAATGTTACTGTCACATTTTATCTACTGAAGGTACAGTGTTACAGTGAGAGGGGAAATGTATTCGCTATTGTTTCTGTCATGAAGTTGGCAAAGGATTAAACAACATAGATAATAGCTTGGAGCAAGCACCAACAGATACAATCAATATGTATGTATGCAAATATTTTTGAGTTCATTGGAAACAAACCAGAGCTGCACTTTTTTTTTTTTACCAGAGATTGTGTGACATCAATTTATTTTATTTTACCTTTACAATAATGAGTTATTAAAGGAGGATAACAGAATGAAGGTTTAGCATCTTATGCAACTAGTTCCAGTCACGAGGATGTGATCATATTAACTTTAAAAGTAGCTTGTGGTGCAGTAATATGAAACTCATGAACAAAAGAACCAATCACCCTTTAAATATTCACTCATAAATCATGTGTTATTGTCTCCGTCAGTGCACAGGGAGGTAGGATCCTGTATCTCCAGCTTCTCTTTTCAGAACCATCTTAGATATTACCGGCTTGTCGTGCACCGTCTCCCTAACAGTTGTGGTTCCTTCATGTCAGCAATGGAGAAGTTTGTTCACAATTATAAGATGTCTTGAAGGAGTTTCTCAAAAAACAAACAAAAAATAATTAATCTGATTGCAGATTGCTTGCCAGATGAACATTTAGGGTGAGCTTTTTGGAGCAATGATCAGCTCAACATGACACACTTGCAGAAATAACTGGAGCCGATGCAGGCAGAAAAGCTTTCAGCAGTTGATCCCTATTTAATTATGACTAATTAGGGGATAAAGGAAAGTGCACCTCAATATTACCAAGATGTTTCAAGCATCATATATTCATCATGAATATTTAGTCATGTGTTCAGCATTTCAGTGGTTTATATGTTCAGTGTATTTCATCTAAGCACTAGATACACATGTCTTTATATATCTTGAGCTGCAGACATTTAAAACATTACAAGGGAGAGGGTACCGTATTTTGATACATTTGTCTGCCTGCTGCTCAACACCTCTGGATAAAATTTGCTTCTCTCGTGTCACTTTATAGCAGCCTCAAAAGAAATCACAGGACATCTGGCTCAGGTTTTTTTGTTGTCAGTTCGAGGCTCCCTAAGGCCCTTGGACTGACAAGGCTCTCACACATCTCACTTTATTTTCTGTCTCACTCTAGGTGATGTGCTAGGTCTTTAATTAATTGGTTATCTGGAGGGGAAACGAAAACTTTCTGAGACTTCTAGCAAAGAATGTCTCTTCAAGGTTGATTTCATCCACTGGATTTGATGCACCCAGACCTCCACGTCTTGGACAAGAAAGACGTAAACGCTTGAAAAACATTTTTTAAAAACATTTGAGAAACATTCCAACTTTACAGGTTCTGTGCTTCCCCTCTTAGCATGCGTATAGGCGACATTTAAGCTTTGTTTGACCTTTCTGTAGCCTAAAGGAGTGATCAGCGGTTTGATCCCTGTATTAATGGTTGCTACTGAAGAGTCCCCCTGCAAGTTCTTGAATTCATATCACCTGCCTTGCTCAAATCCCTCAGAATAATGATGAGTATAAATGTATCTTATGTAGGCAATTCAGGGTTCAGTATCTTGCCCAAGGACACTTTGACATGCAGCCTGGAGGAGCCGGGGATTGAACCGCCGACCTTCCAATTAACGGGGCAACCCACTCTATCTCCTGAGCCACAGTCACTAGTGAATCTAGTACTACGAGGACTTCACTGGTTCACACAGTAAATACAAAGCTCCTCCTGCTTCTCTCCAGTCTATTCTTAACTGATGCCCTTCGTCTGCCCACTGCTATTTTCAGATCACTGGTGATAGATTGAATCCTTCTTTTCAAAGTCTGGATTTTGACTTTGCGTCTGAGCAGACTTGATGCACACTTACAGATGCAGATAACAGTTTGGAATCGATGTATAATGACTCATAATATTCATCATGAGAATTTAAAACGGCAACTAGAGGGCTACTCCACTGATTTTAAACACAAATATCAGTTTATTCATTATGAAGACTACTTCCGCCCTTCTTCTGTGATGAGCTTTGTCAAATCTTAGAAAAGAACCCTGATGACGTCATAATGATGTCATCAGGGTTATCTCAGACTACACATTTATAACAGAACACATGCGCTCCAAACTGACATAGACAAAGACGTGGACATTGACATGCAGCTGAGTTGCATTAGGCAATGGCAAATGTAGGATCCAGTGTTTTTAGAGCTTGACCAATACTAGAGACTTAGATTTATCAGCTTCAGCTGCTTCAATTTGGACAATTCTTTGTCAGATTTGTCTCTTGCAAGTTCCCCACTTGCAACACTAAATTTAAATATCTCTTTAATGCTGAAAAAATAGTTCTAAACTCTAAACGGTTTGGCATCCAGACTTTATTAGTAGATATAATTAGCAAATATTGTGCAAAATATTCTTAAATGCGTAAACTTCTCAACAACTATTTGGATCTGAATGTCTTGTGCTTTTTTTTGAGCTTTCCCCGCTGGTTTTGTTTTCCCAAGACATTCAAATTAAATTTCACATTCACATATTTTAGTAGAAGCAGTATGGTGAATAGTGAACATGGTCTCAGGTGGTGACCTGCCTGAACAGATTTCCTTCACCTGAGCGCCACGTGGTTTGAGGCCCCATCATCCAGCGAGCACCTGTGCTGCTCTAGGAATCTCACTTGGACCACCATGTGTCCTACTGAGTAGACCCCCTTGTTAACGCGCAGTAACCCACAGGACTACCTCTGTTATTTAACTATACCTTCTCCGGCCCCTGGAAGCAGATCCGGCACTGCGGTGATCGCATCCCGCTTTCCGAGAGACTCGGGAGGGAAGAGGCGTCCAGGCTCCCTCCCTGGGGTTTGGCTCCTTCATCATCCTCAAATGCCAGGCTGCGTGGCCGTGGGTCAGAGCCGTAATATTCCTCCTCATCGTCCCGGTGAGAGCAGTTCAACGGCGGCCAGCCACAGCCCCCTATAGCGAACCCTCGCATCCTGGTCTGCGAGCCCGGGTCTGTGCCTGTATCAGTCCTCCTGCTTGATCCAGAGCGCATCAGTAGCAACACTTTGAGTTCACTGAAAAACATTCGGATGCGATACTTAAACATTCTTCAGCAGCTTTACTACACAGGCACACGTGCTCTGTGAAACAACACAGCCTTCAGCTTGACTGTGGCAGGTCCATCAAAAATTATTAGCATGAATATTATTATTATGATCAGGCTATTATTATGGCTTCTGAACCACTTGATTCATGTAGTTCACATCCTATTAAGTAAAATACAGATCTCGGTCAAAAAAGCATGCGGGAAACATGATAGGCTATTAGATCAGCCCATAGCTCTCTGCATATCCTGTTGTTATAGCATGTGCACCGCAATCCAGCCAATAGGGAAGGATTATTTTTCATGGATAGAGGCGTTTTCTGTCGGGATTCAATGGAGGCTGAAAGCAACGAACTGTGAAGCACCAGCATTAAAGTCAGAGGGATGCAGCAGCATCATCTCATGGCTACATTTTCAGTCCGGTTGTTTTTGAGGATCCCGAGGTTCAAACTGGTCCTCTTGGTGTTTCAAACAAGCAGGAGCTGTCCAACAAAATGTTGGTGCCTATTCTTCTAGAGGCAGATGAGCAGCGATGGTGTCTGAGGGGGGAGGGGGGTGATATTAAATCCTATTTACAACAAGTTAAAGCCGATTTGTATTTGAGTTTCACATTTAGGCTATCTACATGGGAGGTGAAATTACACGAGGTGACAAGCGTGTACTCTTTGTTGTCTTTCAGTGGCATCCGTCTGTTTCGTCACGCACCTTCCTCCCTTTAAGCAGGTCCGGTAACCCATTTATAAAGTTACAATCCGGCAGCGTTTCACGTTAGAGATGGATACGAAAGAGATCAAATCTGGTGAACAATAATAAGAAAAAAGTATTTCACGACACCAACCATCTCTGCGCCACACATAAGGAAGAGTGGAGAGGGGGTAGACACGGATTCCTGCACAAACACAGAGAGGGTGCCGACAACAGCTGTCCCTTCCGGGTTGTTAAAAACACATCAGCAGCAGCAGCAGCATCATCAGCAGCATCTTCACCGATTTAAATCAACGCCCTTATGAATCAGTGGGACAATAAAATGCCCCATTCACGTGGCAGGCTGCAGCGATGGGTCCAGGATCTCCAGGATGCTAAAACTTGATTTTCAGTTGGTTTTCAGGCTCAAAAGCACAAACTTCTTTACCTGTGCAGTTACAATATTAAAAAAAACGTCCTCCCTCCGTGCAGCTGAGAAGAGAGACGAGCTCCATCCACAGCGCACTGACACAAGCTGCTGTCCAAGGTGCTGATACTCGTGTGACGTGATGGCCACGTGCTGATCGAGATCCATCGGATGACGGAGAAAAGGAAAACAGTTGTAGCAGTGTAGAAACGGTGTGTGTGTGTGTGTGTGTTCCATCTCATGCATAGTGTCTCAAGACTGTAATAAACAGGACAAAGATACCACTACATTCGCCTACAATAAACTCAATATTCACAGAATCACAGCATTATGGGCCACATAGTTGTTTGAGGAGAGATGGTCTACTGTGTTATAAAATAAACAGGCTCCTGTTCCACCATCACAAAGAGGAGCAGTGTAGTTGTGTGATGAATTTTACTCGGCTAAAAATATAAGCATTATGAACTAAACATCAGCTGTTTAAAAGAAAAATCACAATAGGCTGGAGCTGTGTTTACACATTTACAGTAAGCTTAAATCATGGACTTCTGATTCAGCTCCCCCATCTTCCATCTTCCATCCACGTGCTTGAGGACTCTTAGGAAGCTTTGTGGTAATTCCAAGTAACTTGTTAAACGATTGGAGAAAATTTTCCAGTCTTTCTGACTAGTTTCTCAAGAATTTCTCCAAAATAACTCAGCGAATATTGCTCTGATAGGGTGATTCACAGATCTAAGTGGTCTTCATTTGTGTTTAAGGTACACTGGGCACGGTGATAGTAATAATATACACACACCATTTTCAGGTTCTTTTAAATAAAAACAGGGTAAACAGATTCAAATTCAAGTGTTAAAAGCTATCGGTGTGAGATCTTGACAGATAAAAAACTGTTTGGTGTCCAGTGCAGACACTTCTAAACAACAGAGGGACGATGACGTGTGTTAACCTCTCTTACAGTAATATAAGTACTCTCATTAAAATAGTACAGCCTGGAGGTAACAAATACTCGTAAGCAGCAGTGGAAGACAGCATGTCCCATTTGAAGTATCCAGTTGGCAACACATGTCTGGGATCGGAGGATATGCAGTGTAGTAAGGAGAGATCCCAGCTACAGACTTTTACTGATAATCATATGTGAGACCAGCAGTGCTGCAGGAAACTCAATGCAGATTGTAAGATTTGTGCCAATGATTATCAGAGCGAGTGTGAATACTGAACAGGACTGTGGTGGTACGATGTACAATCCTCTATGTGATAAAGGAGGTTTTGAGCCTGTCAGCAGGTTGTGGTTAACACTATCTCTGAGCCAGAGGCAGTTTTACATCCCAGGTGAGCTGATGCAGTGAAGTCTCTTAAAGATATCATCAGTTTGAAGAGGATGTAAACAAACATGTTAACCATACTGTCATTTTTTATGCATACATTTATATCAGAAATGTAGTTATGCGACTTGCACTTGTTGACCTAGACACAGATCACCTGAGTCGAAATTTTGAGTCTTGTCTGCTCTGTGAAAAGACTAAAAACAGAAGACTTACCTTCTTCTTCTTCTTACTGTTATCATTATTGTATATTCTCTTTTTTTTTTCACATGAGCCCTCAAAAAACAAAACTTCTTTATGAAAACATAAACAAGCTTTGCTGCAAAAAGCCCTTTTCACAGAAGACCTTCTGACATGTCTCTGCAGTTATAGCGCAGGTGAATATAATAAAAGTTAATGATAGCTGAATTCCATTCCGCTGCTTCAGTTTCAGGGTGCTGGTATTGTTTATGCTCGCTCTCCGTCACACCGTCCTGACTTACTGGGACACTGGAATAGAACTAAGCCACCGTTAATGTGACACCTTCACTTTTTTACTATGACAGAACAAAATGTGGCTGTTAAAAAGTGTCGGAAATCTGTCATTCATAACCAAGTACCTGAGTTTCCTCAGCCGTACTCCTGGTGGGGCAGAAAGCCCGGGAGCAACTTTTTAGACAACATTTATAGAGAAGCAATACCTTGTTTTAGACTTCTGTCACAGCCACTGAGTCAGTCTGCATGCCACTGTCACTGCACTACTACTTCCCCATTTTCTGGCCACAAGTGCAGATACTGACAACGTCTACATCCTTCCCCTCCTGCATGCAGCACATGCAGGTTTGGTTTTGAAAAAAGACTGTAAAAGCACTCAAAGATTTTACCCAAAATGGATCAGTTGTGAATGAACACCAGGACTCATAAACTGTAACTGACCAACGAGGATTTTATTAATAGACAAGTCCACCATTTAGGTTTGTCTGTGATCACTTGCTGTCTAAGCAAGCAGACATTGTGTAGTTTGTTTGTAACCAATGGACATCCATAAAGTGACAAAAATCAACATTTAACAAATAACTGTGTAAGGTGTACTCTTATTATTAGTAGTGAGTTACAAACCTGAATTGCATTTAGTCCATTTTCTCCATTTGGACCCATTGGTAACGTCTAATGCCAGAAGGTCTTTATTCAGGTGCCTGATGCACAGTTCCCTGAGAGCTCAGAGGCCATCAGGCTGAATGAGCATTACTCTAGAAGCCATCCAATTTTCAATATTAGTTAATGTCAGTGGTGGAGAAAGTAATCACATCCTGCATTGAAAATGTTACTGAAGTAAAATAATTCTAATATAATCAGGAAAAAGCAAGCAAGTAAAAGTACTTAATGCCGAAAGAAAAATGTCCCCTGTGACTGTTTAACTGTTATCAAGGGCGTCACTTTGTGTTGAAACGTGGTGGTAAGGGCTCAGATTAGGGGTCACAAGACGTGACAATGCGCAATATTGAGTTCACGAGAACGAGAAGAGAAGCAAATTTTTATTTTTGAAGAAATATTTAGTGTAGAAATATATGGGTGGGGGTCTGGGGGTCCTCCCGCAGAAAAGTTTGAGAATTAAACACTTTTTGTATTCTGCAGAAATGTTCTGCACCAATTTATGTAAATGTCTTTTTTTATGTTAAGGGAAACAAAACAAAAACTTCAACTGGCAGGGGAAAATTCATAAATATAAAAATACAACAGAACATAATGCAGTAATCAGCAGCTTGTTTTTTTAAGCTGAAGTTACTATTTTAGGACAATGCACACTTGTTTCTTTTACTTTTACATAGCATTGCATGTTTTCTTATTGTGCATATAAACCTTTCTCAAAGCATTCTCATTTGTTAGTTAACATTTCTTGTTGCAAGCTATTTTGTAGAACCTTTTTAACAAATGCTTTCAAAAAGTGATGGGGACAAAATCAGCCATTTCAGAAAGTGGTGGGGACATGTCCTCAGCGTCCCCAGTGTAAATGACACCTATGACTTTTAAATATAATATCCTTAAGTTATTATTACTCATGCATTAATATAAAAGCAGGATTTTACTGTTGTATTGCACTGTATTTACTGTTTTGTAAAAGTCTCCAACAAATGATTATTTTCATTATGCATCAATCTGCTGATTATTTTCTCACTTAATCGATTGATTGTTTGGTTTGAAAAAATTCAGAAACTAATGAGAAATGCCGTCACAGTTACCCAGAGCTCAAATTCACACCTTCACAAAGTTTTTTTTGGTCCAACTTCAAAACCTCCGAATGACTTAAAAAAAATACATTACAATAATTAAAACAATTAAAATAATTTAACAGAACCATGAAATACTTTTACAAAATATCATTGTTTATTGTTTTGGTTGCATTTCTATGTATTTTTGGGCAGTTTAACAAATAATAATAACATCATGTTTTATAAACGTAAAGTAACTAATAACTAAAACTCAGATAATTGTAGTGAAGTAAAAAGTACAATAATAATAATAATAATAATAATAATAATAATAATCTTTATTTGTAGAGCACTTTTCAAAAACAAGTTACAAATTTCTTTAACAAGACAATAATACCCAAAAAACAATAATACCCAAAAAACAATAATACAAAAACAATACAAGATAAAGAAAAGAAAAGACTAAAATACACGTTTAAGAGAAATATAAAATTAATGATGAGTAATGAAGCTAAAATAGGAGTAATGTGGTCATATTTCTTTGTTCTGGTTAAAAGCCTGGCAGCTGAGTTATGGACAGTCTGGAGTCGATCAATAGATTTTTGGGTTAAACAGGTGAAAAGGCTGTTGCAATAATCCAGACAATACTTCCCTCTGAGATGTAGTGTAGTAGAAATAGAAACTAGCACAAAAGACTCAAGTAAAGCACAAGTACCTCAAACTTGTACTAAAGTACAGTACTTGAGGAAATGTAGTGTTACATTTCACCACTGGTTAATGTTGGTTTATTCTAAAGTAACAAAACAGTAGGAGACATCCTGATATTCATATTTTAACACTCAAATCAGTATCCATCAGAGTAACCACTGTATAGATGAATGTTTTTATTTCAAGAAGTGAATTACTAACGAACAATCATTGATTTTAATCATCTGAATACACTGTGTAGCTTTCATGGTAGTTCTCAATCGGCCTCAACAAATAAATCCAAAATGAGACAACAAGAGAGACATATGAGCTCAGAGAAAATGAGGGAGAGGATTTCTTTTCATTTAAATTATGTTATATCCCAAATATCGAATATTATTAGATATATTGAAACTCTTCACTTTTCATGGAAGCAATGGATAAATTTACTGTGTACATGTACTCGTAGATGCAATAGTTATGTAGGCTTATGTGTATAAATTCATATGAATAATACATACATTTATGAGTGAGATTATAAGTATGTATGTATACAGTTTCTCCTGATTTATTAAGTAAATGTGGGATTTCTCTTTTCTGAACACACTTTCCTTTGTTTCACTACTCTTGTTTTCTTTCATTACAAAAATGTTTGTAACCGTAATCTGCACTGTTGCGCCCACAACTGTACAAACATGATGACTATTGAGGTAATAAATAGATCTATTTTTTAAATTGTCACAGAGGGAAAACATCATCCCTATAGACACAAACAACTAGTCCAATCACTGCCAACAACTCCACATATTTCAAATATTTGCTCAAAGCTTATTTGGTCAGCCAAACTACTTGAGTTCTGTATACAGTATAAATTTATTATGTTTAGTTTATTGCCAGCTCATATAATATATTGGTTATTAATTTTTTCATTTCATTTCATTTTTTTCTCTGTATATTGTGCAAATAGTTTTGAAACTTAATGAAACGTAATGTAAACATAATGTTATTTCCTTTTGGGCTAGGTGTCTCTATAGGGCCAATTTTACTCCCTTGAAATAGGCCTATTCTATGCTTTTTGTATTTTGTTACTTGTGGAAATAAACAAAAATTTTTATGGTAGGCTGAAATAAAAGTGTGCCTGATACATATTCAGGCCTATTTTGAGATAAACTAAAACAAGCAAACGGGATTTCTTTCCATATAAAAATATGCATAACAACAATGTAATGTGTATATATATTATATGATCATGGAGGCCTTTAAGTTCTTCATTCTTGATAATGTGCTGCAAGATGTTTTAGCTCCGCCCTCCTCGAAGAGTTGCTAGAAGCAACAGGAAGCGACAACCCCCCCAAAAAAGAGTGCAGGCTGGAAGACAAAACACTGGAGGCCGAAATCGTATCGGGTGATTGGACTCTCAGCACCAGGACCCACTGCCGGGACTGTGAAACCTCAGCCTGGACCCGACCTGCCAACTAAGACCCGGTTCTGTAGGAGTTATACGTGGCAGATTAATGAGCATGTCCTCCTCATAAAGCTTAAAGTGAAGCTTTACTTGCTCCCAGAGAAAAAACAGGAGAGGTAAGTACTGTGAACTGTCGCTTAAACTGGTAGGGATTCATGTGCGTGACACTCTGGCGTGCGGACATGCGTGTCATGTGGAACAGATGTGGAAGTTGCTGGCGGTGATCTGTCTCATTCGCTGCCGTCTCTACTTTTTTTCCCCCAGTTTTCTCTCCGCCACGTCAGTGAACATGCAGGCTAGGTGGCAGGGAGGGTGGGGAGAAGTCCGTGTGGCCTGTTGTTTCCTAGCTTTTTTAATTAATTAATTAATGTTTGCTTGTTGCCAGTTTAATTAACAAAGGAGCGCCATGGAGGAGCACCACGTGTCGGCACAGAGTTCTTTCCGTCTGCCCTGGCCTGTTTCTCTCTGTGCCTCCGCCCACTGGCCTTCAGTGTCCGCCTAGATTAGAGCTGATCAAGGAGCTATACATGAATGAAGTGTGGGCGACTAAATGTGAGCTTCCGCATGTATGATAATCGATCCCGGTGATGAACAGGCTGGCAAATTAACGACCCTCAGTGAGACATAAGTGAAACCACCAGGTGCTGTGCTAAAAATTTGCCCCCTCTCTCTCATCTGCTGCTGTGAGCTGTTGTATCACTGTAAAGGAAATGGGGAGATGCTTTAAAGGTGGCAGGTCATGTACAGCCTGAACCACTTCCTGTGGCACCAGAGAGGGGGTCCTGATCCTTCCTTATGAGACAGTGAAGGACTGTTGTTTTGTTGTTTTCCCCGTTGTGTAATGAAGGAGGGGATGGTGCAGATAAGTCATTAACAAGACAATGCTGTCAGAGATATTTAAGACATTTACATTTATTCATTTTGAACCCGGGTCTCTCACACCAAAGGCATGTGTCTTATCCATTACTCCATCACCAGATGGAGAACATGTAGTTTGTCAGCCAGAGAGCACTGACAAGTTGGTTTTGTTATTTGGCCACTCAGGTAATAACAATAATGTAGTGAGATATAATAAGAAAATCAGCTGAAATATAGGTATCAGCTCTCTTAGGAATTAAAAAAATATAGTAACTGTGTAGTGTGACATTTGTCAGTACAGGGCAGGTTACTCACCACCAGGCCTCTCTCAGTATTTTCTGTATTCCTCTGTACTTCTTGGCCCTTTTGCTGCTATGCCGCCTCCCTCAGCGGTTGCCACAGTCTGCTGCCTACAGTGGAAAGCAGCGGGTGATGGATACCTAAATCAGTTTAATTACTTCTTGTGTGGCATCCAACATCTGGGCAATCTGTACGCTCATAATACTTGATCAAGCTATCGCAGCTGGGGGGGCTTTCTGAAATGAAGAATCAAACTGAAACTATGAAACTAAAATAGCATTTTAAATTCATTCCTTGACAGCAGCATCATACCACAAAGTGCTAGGAAGGTTACCAAAGGCAATTAGTATTGGTAAATAATATAAAACATATGCATAACACATTGTGCTTTTATTTTTCTTATTTCTTTTACCAGTATTCAGTATATGTCTGGTTGTCGTCATTATAGCTTCCTGAAAATTGTAACTCAATTGTATCACATTTGGTTCTACATGTATACAGTTTTATGTTATGTATATGAATTTAAAACCATAAACTATATTTATTATATTTCATTATAATGCAAAAACTAAAGCTAGTATGATCCGAATTATTAGTGTAGCCTATTATTACAGCTTCATTAAAAAAGTGAATAACGGGAGACAGTGTTGTCATGTCAGTGTGCTAAAAACAGACATTGCATTAGTTGTTGCATTTTAGAATCAGCTACAAATCTATATGAGTAAGCGTCATGAAGGTAAAGAAAATAAAATGGGCAAGAATGTTGCATTAAAGTCTTTCTCTGTGTTGCCGAATTAAGTCAGTTGTCTAATTTAGCAGGACAGTTTAATTTGTACTTTTATTACTCATTTCAGCTCTGACCTGAATTGTGTTGACAAGAATTTGTATTTCTTGCAGATACACAGGAATGCAAGCTGATTCTTGTCAGCAGACACTCTTGACTCAACTTTCTTTGCATAAGAGTAAGAAATGTGGCATGTTCAACATGAATAATGCAACGCCTCTTCCTCTTATTGACTAGAGTTTAGGTCGACCACTTCTATTAATGTGGTTTGGCAGCATATGTGAATATTCAAACCGCAGCAACATGTTTGAGCCACTAACACTTTAATACATCCCATGAGATATATTTAACCCTATGTGTACATGTTTGGTTGTGAATGATTAGTACAATAGTTGACCGCAGCTCTAGTGAGATTTGCACACAGATCCAAAAGGTTGTGAATGTAATGCATCAAATCATCACTCTTAAAAAAAGGCAAATGTTTTGCTATCTTCAGCAGTGACTCTGCACGTATGCATTTTCTTCTCCGGGCTTAATCAAGCAATCGTGCTTACAAAGCTTCAGTCCAAACATGCTGTCTCATGCTGAAATGAAAAACTGACATTTAGAGCATTTAGATACTTTTGGAGTAGGGCTGCAACTAATGATTATTTTCATTGTCGATTAATCTGACGATTTATAAATTGTTTAATTTCTAAAACTCCAAACTGCATCTCATCTTACAAGCCTGTTGCATGTATAAAATACATTGTAAAATGTCACAAAAATGACAATCCGCGTTTCCCAAAGCCCAAGATGACGTTCTCAAAGAAGCTGGAATCAGACAATCTGTCTTAAAAATTACTCAAACTTATTTATAGATTATCAAAATAGTTGGCAATTAATTGATTATTCAATAAATTGTTGCAGCTCTATTTTGGAGTACCAACTTTAGGAAATGAAAAGGTTGGTTAAACAACAGAGGAGAGCGAATTTCTTGTTGTTTGGCTTTCTGCTCTTTTGTTGCTGTACTTTTCTCACTCTCCCCTACAGAAACAGTTGTAGCTCCGGTTTTACTTCATCTCTTTCATACTTTGTCTCTGCCCTAACAAGTCTGCCATTATTATAGTTTATACATAGTCTGACACAGTGTGACGCTGACAGGTTTTCTATTGACAGTTTAGTATTTGATTTATTGTTAATATTCATATTAATAATTATTATTTTAATTGAATTGATTGAATAACATTTTCTTGATGTTTTGTCTACAGAATGTCAAAAAAAGTTGTGAAAACTGCCTGCAGCAATTTCCCAGAGATCAGTGTGATGTATTCAAATTCAAATTTCTTATTTTATTCAACCAACAGTTAAAAACCCAAAGATATTCAGTTTACTATCCTGCATGAAAAAATCTAAGAAGGTGGAACCAGCAAATGTTTGGCATTTTTACAGTCAGTTGACTAGTCGATCAACAGACTGATTGCTTCAGCTGTAGTCACATAAATATTTCTGTGTGTAGTAGAGCTGCACGATTTGGAGAAAAAGTCATATTGCAATTATTGTGGACAATATTGCGATTCGATTATAAAGGAACAAATGGTACTATGAGTCTACTTGCACTAAATACTGATATTTTGAAATGTGTATTTCTCAACTTGAACAAAGTGAAACAGTAAACAATATTTATAACAATAACAAGTAAAACAGATGTAAACACAACGAGGGGAGTGTGTTGCTCTATGGAGGAGGTGGCTCGAAGCAGCAAATATTGGCATCCTGGCACCAGCTCAAGGTACATCTGTCTACTGCAGAGTCTCTATCCACAACCTGGAGGAGGAACTGTACATGAGTGTATTATATAAAGAGGATAATGTTTAGTTAATAGTTTACTGTTAGTCTAACAATAATATATTAAATAGTACATAAATTAGAATTTCATATAATAGTATACTTTTTGTTGAGTATTAAAACCAGTTATAGCTGTTTCATTTTTGTGGGTTGTTTTTTTTTTAAATGTAATCCTTGTGCAAGCAAAATGCGCTACATTGGTCTCTAACTTGTTAATGATAAGTCCTAATTTGTCAATAATCATATTGTTTAACATTTAATAATTTGCTGTAGCTCGTCAAACTTTTTTTAATGTCCCGCCCCGTCCAGGCTGTGATTGGTCGGTTGACGAAAAGTAACTGACAAGCACGTCGGCTCTGTTAAAAGTTGAACATGTTTAACGACAACAGGAACCGATACAGTGGCCAGCGAGCCAAAACCCCGCCTTCATTATCTTGTCCCTTTTTTCTTCTGTCTTACTGCTTCAGCTGCAGACGATGTCTCTCTGTCACAGAGCGACCGGAGGTGGCGAGTCCGACTATGTTTTCTACGATTAGCGGCGGGGCGGGGAGGGTGGTTACGGTAGGTTGTTGTCTTAAAAGTTACTGGCACACTGCTCATAAAACATTTTTGTCATTGGACGTGGGCTTATCTGTTTTTAGAGGCACATGCGAGAGCCCGCTGTGGGGGGAGATAATGAGCAAACTGCAGCGCACACAGAGAAGAGAGTAGCCATGTTTCCATCCAATTGTCATGCGAATTTTAAGCGTACTTTTGAAATGTCGCAAAAAAGAAATTGCGAAATATGTGCGTTTCCATCAGCGGGTTTGGAGCGAATAAACAAGGCTAAGGCAAGCGTCGTTACGTCGGTAGTTGACGTTACACATGGCTGAAATAAACAAGACCTATGGTTTCCAAACCAGAAACAAAACTAGTTGCATGAACCTGAAGGCCATTGATCTTAGAAAAATGGAGAGAGGTCCTCAGAAATGTGTTTCAAGCGGGCAAACTGCTACCAGCCAGGCACGTTATGGGAATCCGGTGTAATGCGAGTTTTGCATGCCTCCCGAGAATTGCATGCACTTCCAAATAATGCTTTTAAACGCTATAATATCGTTTGTGGGGTTCATCAATGGGGATAAATGATTCTAAATATATAGCCTATTCTATGAACGTTTAGCATTCATTGAGATTCAGCAAAAATATGCGGTGATAACCCCGTTTGATCAGTGTGCACAGCAAAGTATCTGAAAAGGACCTTTTAAGAGGTGAATGCATAATTCGGCAGAACAGATGATGAAGGCTACCTGCCGATTTGCAGGTATGCAGAACGCCGACAGCAGAAACAGCTGATCAGACGTGTTACAAGTTCGCTACATCAGAAATTATTCGGAAAAAGTGTTTCCATCTCCCATTAAGCGCATTTACTCTTTTTCGACAAAGGCAAAAACAACCTCAAGCGAGCTTAAAAACTTTTTTGAGAAAGTAAGGATTGTTTTGATGGAAACACGGCTAGTGTCACACACAAAATGATATCATGATTTAAAAAAATTCAGTTAGTTTTGTTAAAGTTTAAAGGCTGATTTTAGCTCCTTAGTGAAAACCAGAAGGTTAATTGTGTGGTTAAACTTTTCTTTATGGTCAGAAAGTGACAAACACCTGATGCCAAACAGTGGATCACTTTACAAATCTGAGGTAGAACATTCAAAACAATTATGATAAAATCCTTTTTCAAAAAATATATTTAGTAAATCATTTTTTCAGTCCCTTTTCCTCAACAAAATAAATATCTTAATAAAAAAATTAAGTGCTAATTTATTTGTGATTCAAATTAATTAAATCAAACATTTATTGACAATATATTGAACATTTGTTATTGAGGAAATATACATATTGTTATTGAGGAAAATTATATTGCAATCATTATTGTTTTATTGCCCAGCCCTATGTGCTTGTATTTTTTATGTAAAGCACTTTGACAGCATTGTTTTGTCGGTGAAATGTGCTATACAAATGCCTTACCCATTAGGGAAAAGAAAGTAGAATTTAATTTGAGTGCTACTTTTGCTAGAGCTGGATCATGTTGAGGATATTCAGTTTTCCTTACACACCAACAGATCAGTCACTGAAGCAGGTGTCCATTATTTTACATACGTGGGAAAATTATCTTCAACCTCAAACATCATCAACAAGGTTATAAAATAGAAGACCTAAAAGCAGGTGCAATGGTTTCTGAGTCAACCAGTGGGGTTGTGAAGATGGTGCTGCTGCTTTGCTCTGTCCTTAATGAGGAGATGTTTTGAACTTGTACTCCACGTCCTGATCACATGAACTGTACTTGAAAAGCACTGAAGGCAGCAGGCGTAGGAGGAAGCAGAGCACCACAGAACTACCAGTGAATAGGACATATGTGCTAGGTGTCAAGGTGAAGTGTGTTATTGTTAAGTAGGTGGAAGGGGTAAACTGTAGATGGAGGGGGACAAGGTGGGCAAGATGCCCCTCAGCCAGGGCAAGTGTACCCACCTGGTTTGATAGATTTAAAATTGAGACTTGCATAAAGGGAAGGAAGGAGTGGGATTCTGCTCTCTGGTTGTGTGCCTGCTGGTGTGAAGGAGGTGGTAGAGAGGTGAGAGGAAAGTTTGAAACAATGGGACAAAAAAGCTGTTCGGGTTGCGTGGTTGAAGGCGCTTCCTGTGCAGAGTCTTGCGTTAAGTGGAATTGCTTTGAAATGGCGTCGCATTCAATGTGTCATTTGATTTCTTTCAAGACGTAAGGCACTTCGTCCCGTAGCTTGTGGATAATAAAATATTTGAATGTAGGCGCACTGATAAATTCCTCTTTGGATATGACTAAAAATATGTCACATGCCATACATTTCAGCACTTTCCACTCTGAGTACTTGGAGAGCTCTTATGAGGCTTCACTCTAATAGAGGCCAGCACAGCTAACCATAAAGTGTTGTGCACTTAGCTCAAAGCATCATTGACTCCTGCAGGTGAAATGGCTGAAATATGCGAGATGAGTTATTTATTAGCAGCTGGAAAGGTGAAAATGGTAGGTGAAGCCCCCATCACCTATATATGATGTTAAAGCTGTGCAAATCAATATTTTTAAAATGAAGAATGGCTGAAATGACTACTTGTAACGTGAAACTTGGGTCACTTATAGTGAAGAACCCACAGAGAATTACTGCTCCACAATATTGTTCCCCCTCAGCTCTACAGAGAATTTTAGCATCTTTCAGCTCATTGTTTTATGTTTATGTTATGCTTTTGTTTTTTTCCAGCCCACAACGATAATGTTTTGATTCTCATCATTCATATCAAAGTCATTTGAGCAAAAAAGCTCAAATGACTTTGCTAAACTGAGTGCGTGGCCATCACTCGGCAGCAAACATCAGACTGAAAATATAACCAGCTGGTTAACAGTATAGTAGAGCAGCTAAAAAGTCAAATATTTCCCTCAGAAGTTGGTGGAGACCAAAAACTGAGCTAAAAAGAGAGTGACTATTGGACCTGCATCTGCTATATGGCCAGAAACACAACTCCAAATGAATGCTAATGTTGCCCTGTGTGTGCGTGTTAAGGGTCATTGAAGTCATAAATACTGTATAAGATCATAAGTAGGCTGCTAAGTATAAAACACGTTTTTTTTTTGTTATTTTTCATAAAGCAGTGTAAACTCTATTATACAAACGTTATTACCTTTCATCATCTCATCATTGTGATTAATAGCATTTATATCTTTTGCATCTGATTTGTCTCTCAGACTGTTTGATCTTGGTCATGGCCCACGGCACCAGTATCCAGTATGAGCCACTGGCAGAGATCGGAGGAGGCGCTTACGGGACGGTTTATAAGGCCCGAGATACAGAGAGCGGACAGTTTGTGGCTCTGAAGAGCGTGCGTGTCCAGACGGACCAAAATGGCCTCCCAATCTCCACGGTCAGAGAGGTGGCTCTTTTGAGAAGGCTGGAGCAGTTTGACCACCCCAACGTGGTCAGGTAAGTCAGGACAGTTACCAGAGTGTTGTGTTCTCTACAATTCAGTGTGAGCACTTCACAGTTCGTCACTGTTTGTATTGCACGTTAACAGGCTCATGGATGTATGTGCCACCCAGAGGTCGGACCAGGAGACTAAAGTCACACTGGTGTTTGAACATGTGGACCAAGACCTCAAGACGTACCTAGAGAGAGCCCCAGCTCCAGGATTATCCCCTGCCCACATTAAAGTGAGACTGACTGAAACAATATTTAAACTAAACTGCATGATATGTTAAATATGTTTTTGTTTGTCATTTAGGGTCTTTTAACCCTGTTTTTAAGCACATTCTGTTGAAATATTTAGTTTCACTTGAAATATGCCTGTGTGTTTTTGCAGGACCTGATGAGGCAGTTGGTGTGCGGTCTTGCATTCCTGCACTCTAACCGCGTGATGCACCGAGACCTGAAACCAGAGAATATTCTGGTAACCAGCCAGGGCCAGGTGAAGCTGGCTGACTTTGGACTGGCCAGGATCTACAGCTGCCACATGGCCCTCACCCCTGTGGTAAGAACTTACCTGGACCATACAAATACTTTGTTGTGTCGTGTATACAGCATTTCCTAAGCATACAATAATATCTGTTATTACATTTTAAACATTCATTTATCATATTGATCTTTTTTTCTTAAGTTGCACTTACCCTTCTGGCTATGTCCATGTTAGCTTATTATTTGTCTTCTGAATTAATTTCCTCACAACATAGCATGTTTTTTTACTGTCAAATCTTAGTTTGAGCTTCTTTGAATTTATTTTTGAAGAAGAATATTAACCAGACTAAGAGTCTACAGCCAAGCTAGCAGCTCTGTGAGGCAGCACTTGAGCTAAATGCTAGAAGTCCCATTGAGATCAAAAATCTCTTTTACAAGAGAGACCTGGACAGGTATTAGCCATACATAAATCCAACATATACAACGTGACAAAATTCACAATAAAACAAAAAAAATAAACAACTAACAAAGTGCAGCTATTCAAACACAATGGCCTCTCAAGAAAAACAATCACATGCCTCCTTCACCACATTCATTATGACGCTCTTAAATTTACCAGTTGATATACACATCTCTAATTTGAGATCTTTTTGCAAATTATTCCATGCCCAGGGTGCATAGTATGAAAATGCAGTGAGTAAGGGGCTTTGCATTTGTAATAAAACAGAGATGCATGGTACACTGAATCAGCGCTCCGTAAAATGGAGGAGGCTGCAAGCATAATGATAATGCTAATGTGTTCATATTTTGCAGATAATATTTACCAGGTTTACCATCTCACTTTAGGCTGTTAGCGTGCGAACATTTTATAATTAGCAATAAAAAGGACAGCTTGTAACTTGATACTGTAGTGAAATGAATGGTAATGCTTTCTATGAAGGTCATCGCTATAATGACTTATGCATATATTTATAACACAATATAATACTTCCATAAGACATTATAACAATTGTTATAATCACTTACAAACATGCATTATAGCAAATATATATAGCAAAGTTCATACATGGAACAAAATTATAAACGCAATCATGAGCTGAACTCAAAGATCTAAAACTTTATCTATGTACACAAAAGGCCTATATAAATCTGTCAGAATCTGTGTTAATGAGCACTTCTCCTTTGCCGAGATAATCCATCCACCTCACAGGTGTGACATATCAAGATGCTGATCAGACAGCATGGGTATTGCACAGGTGTGCCTTAGGCTGGCCACAATAAAAGGCCACTTGTAACCACACCAGCCCACGACCTCCACATCCAGTATCTTCACCTCCAAGATCGTCTGAGACCAGCCACCTGGACAGCTGCTGCAACAATCGGTTTGCATAACCAAAGAATTTCTGCACAAACTGTCAGGAACTGTCTCAGGAAAGCTCATCTGCATGCTCGTCATCCTCATCGGGGTCTCGACCCGACTGCAGTTCATCGTCGTAACCGACTTGAGTAGGGTGTTCTCTTCACGGATGAATCCCAGTTTTCACTGTACAGGGCAGATGGCAGACAGCGTGTATGGTGTCGTGTGGGTGAGCGGTTTGCTGATGTCAACGTTGTGGATCAAGTGGCCCATGGTAGCGGTGGGTTATGGTATGGGCAGGCGTGTATTTTATTGATGGCATTTTTAATGCACAGAGATACCGTGACAAAATCCTGAGGATAATTATTGTGCCATTCATCTACGACCATCACCTCATGTTGCAGCATGATAATGCACGGCCCCATGTCGCAAGGATCTATACACAATTCCTGGAAGCTGAAAACATCCCAGTTCTTCCAGCATACTCACGGGACATGTCATTGAGCATGTTTGGGATGCTCTGGATCAGCATGTACGACGGCGTGTTCCAGGTCTTGCCAATATCCAGCAACTTCGCACACCATTGAAGAGGAGTGGACCAACAGGCCACAATCAACAACCTGATCAACTCTATGTGAAGGAGATGTGTTGCACTGTGTGAGGCAAATGGTGGTCACACCAGATACTGTTTCATGTTATAAAGCATGTCTTTGTTTGTTTTAAGTAAAGTATTAAATGGTCCATCTCTGTTTAATATATTACAGGGGGACATAATACCATATGAACTAATTATAAGAACTTTTTTTTTTTTTGCAGTTTAGCACAAAAACGCAACATAATAATTTTGCAGAAATGCAGCTAGATTACAAGTATTACAAGCTAAAACATGCAACATGGTTACTGAATTTTGTTTTCCTTTACTTGTGCTCAAATGATTTGGTCTGACCCCTGTTAATGGACTCCGATGTTTGTGTCTCCCAGGTGGTGACACTGTGGTACCGACCTCCTGAGGTTCTGCTGCAGTCCAGTTACGCCACACCAGTGGATATCTGGAGCACTGGCTGCATCTTTGCTGAGATGTTTAGACGCAAGTGAGTCAGCAGAATAATGTTAAGATAAAGAAGACTATATGTATGTCACAATCGTCATGTTCTAATTTTATATAGTATAATGCCTGATGTCCGTGTGTAAATACAGTTGTCTCTCAAAAAAACAATATGAACAGATTTTGATGTGATTTGTTGAGAAGAGAAGCCTTGGGCAAAGGAACAGTGAATTAGATTTTGGTGATCTGATTCATTAAAAAGGAGCAGAGATTTGATTACATATCCTGAAGGTACCTTTGCAAGGCAGAGGTTTGTGTTTCTAGTTTCTTATGTAACTCTTTAGGCTAGCTCAGAGTTCGGGTTGCTTCACACACACATTAACCATGTCTACAAAACACGTGTATATTATACTAATTTGCTTTGCCAAATATACTTTCAAGGGAAAGTACTGTTTGCATAATGTTCACTAGCATTTTTGTCCAATCCAGAAAGTGTGGCAACGTTATACTGCACATAAGTCACAGGTAGGGAGTGTACAAACCATAGGACCAGGGCCCATGTTTAGCCTCTTATTTATGTTTATGTTACTAAAACACTTGGTTATGATTTTAGGGAAAGATTGTGGCTTTGGTTATATATAGAATAAGTCTTGTCCCATCTTGTACATTGATGAACAGTTTGCTAACATAATTTTTATAGTCCCAAACATGCTGACACTATATTATCAGACTTGACAGAACATCGTCTACACAGAATCATGTTGATTATCTTGGCAGAGGGAGCGCTCTTCTCTCATTGACTTTTGTCGGTACACTAATGAGCGTCCAGATTTGAACTCAAACACATCACAGATATTTCTGTGTCAGTGTCAGAACAGCTGTGATAAGTTTGCCAACAGTTCGGGAGGGTTCAGATTTGATTTGTAAATGGTTCACATTATGAGGTTATCTGTGGCTCTGGGGAAATCTGGTGCAGAGCCTCAGACTGTCCAGGAGGAAAAGCCGGAGCTTTGCCACACACACATTATGTTACAGCACATACAAATATTTTATTTCAGTCTTCCAGCCAAGTCTACAATACATTTACTCCAAACATGTCTAAATAAATTCTGGACGCCATACATTTTAAATGTGAAGTGGATGTTATTGACACATACTGTGGTTGTAGTCCTGAAGTCAGGGCTGGGTGTCATGAGCGTCATGCTTGCTGACACAAACCCACTGGCAGCTCACAGACTTTGTTGCAACACATCCAAACATTATTGGTGTTAACACGTCCACAAACAGTGCCTGCAAGTCATCATGTGTGAATTTAAGTCAACTTAGTCTGCCAGAAAGCTTTTCTTGGTAGAATCTCTCCCAGTTCGGCTGGAGAACCAGCACAATGACAGACACAGTAGCGCCATCTAGTGTTTAAAATGACACCTTCCACAAAGACAGCGGCCAACTCACTCAAAACAATTGCCTTGGGAACAGTGAGTAAAATGATGTAACGATTTAATGACAAGTTGATAGAGCCGAGGCACAGTGTTTATAGCGTTCTAGCTCATAGTATCATGAACAATTAACAAGTCGATTTGGGGGAGATGTTGTAAACTTAGACAAATAGTAGAATAATTCAACTTGCCCTTCATGCCAAACTGCTGATCTGTGTCTAACGGACATTATGCTGCTTTTTCACAAACAGGAATTACACAGGCTAACAACATCTGCTTCTATTAACTGCGGTACAAACTTTCTGTCTGTTAGACCTCTGTTCTGCGGAGAATCCGAAGTGGACCAGCTTGGGAAAATTCTTGAGTGAGTAACAAAAAGTTTCCATCACATTTACCTGACTAGTAGATGTATTTAAAGATGGTTGTCATTGAACATTATATGTCATTTCAGGGTTATTGGCTTGCCACCAGAGGAGGAATGGCCGACTGATGTTACACTCTCAAGAAAAAACTTCCCCCCTCTCTTACCTTGCCCAATCACTGACTTTGTTCCAGAGATAAATGAGCAGGGGGCGAAACTATTGCTGGTAAGACTTCACCATGAGCTAAAATCCTGTCTGGTAATTGATTCAGTTTCAGCTCTACAGAGATGAATTCAGGACAGTAACGGATAAGTAACCTCAGACTCGTGAAGAATTTTCTTCACTCATAGTCTGCTGATGTTCAACACAAGCCACAAGAATTTCATGATGCAATATTAGAAATTTATATCCAGTTGATTAAACTAGAGGAGAGTGCAGGACTTACAGCAGTTCGGTTTAAAGAAAAGTATTCTGTCTGCGTTACAATTTACAGTGCTAGTAAAACAAACAAACAAAAAAATTGAAATGGATTTGTCTTTAGCTTACAGATCTAAATAAGAAACAATAAAATAACCACATTACAATAATTAAATTCTGATGACCAAAGAAAGCTAATGGTTTACATTAGCTATATCTGGTGACTCTCCATTGTTGGCCTATTTGTTGAAGGAATTGTTCAATATGTTTGACCAGTAATTTAGTGCAGTTTCAACTGGTTGCAGATGTGTTATTAGTAAGCTTTAAAAGGCTGGCATGCTGATTTTGTTACCTTCGGAAAGAGCCAGGCTAGATGTTTCCCCCGATTTCCAGTCTTTATACTAAGTTAAGCTAACTTGCTGCGGCTTCATATTTACTGTACAGAGTACAGACGTGGTATCAACCACATCATCTCAGCAAGAAAGTGTGTTTCTCAAAAAGTCCTTTTAAGACCTGACTCAGCTCTAATATCCTGCTTTTCTTTCTTCTACAGGAAATGCTGACCTTCGACCCTTTGAAACGAATATCTGCCCTGACTGCCCTAGAACATCCATATTTCCAGGATGAGGAGACATTGACTCAGACAAAAAGTTGAAATGATGGGATGAAACATGCTGCGAGAGGTAACAGTGTCTAAGTTTAGACCTGGCCTAACCATAAAGGATTTCAATTTCATTTAGTGCGTTGCCTTTCAAGACATCTGGGTTATGCTTTGGGATATTTTTGTCACTCCTGCATCAAAAAAGGATTAAAGCCTGAGAAATGGAATAAAAAAAAAAAAAAAAGAAGAGGATTGAACTTAAGGATCACTGGCATGTGTTACAACATGTAAGTGTCACAGTTAATGATGTTAACATGTCATGTCTTTAAGGACAGTACCAGTGTTTTGATGTCTGATTGTCAGTCAGCAGGGACTGATCCACAGAAACATCCGTCAGCGCCTCTGAAATGTTGCTCTTGTTATTTTTGTACAGTGTTTAGACAAAAGGTCAAAAGGACAAGATGTCTTCTTTGCTCGTTACAGCCTGAACAAAGTTTGACAGAAGTGACACCTCAGGGTTAGAACAGCCAGTCGTAAGTGATCACTAGTATTTCTGTTAATATTTATCATACGGAAGGAACGCCATAGGCCTGTGACGTGCATCAAGCTGTTTGAAATCATGAGGACAAGAAAGAACAGTCTGAAGTAGTAGAACGAAAAACTCACAAGAAAGACGCACATGACAAAAATACTGGTATTGCCCTTAGATACTCACAAAGTGAAGTGTCTTTTATCAGAGGACTGAAGGGTTGGATTTCATTTCATAGTTGACATTTTTTGCTAAATCCATCTGAAATCAACCAGCACTGCAACTACAAATGAATAAAAACAGTTTTAATCAAATTCAGACTTTATTTGTGTATTTTTATAATTATTATCATTATTATTATTATTATTTTTATTATACAGATGACATTCCATATAAAATGAATAAATGTGATTCTATGAAAACTGAAGTCAACTGAAATATAGTTTGTGAAAAATGCAATGAACTGTATTGAATACTAATATAAAAAAGTAGCTTCATTATACTGCTTTTGTCATCCAATATTGTCCAAATAAACATTTAACGAATGTGGCTGTCTAAATTAGCGGGAGGTGTGTTCTTTATGGTTTTCTGCCTGTGAATTGTTACTGTGTTTCACATAGGTGGACCAATTAAGTATTTCACAAAGTTGGGGGACTTATAAGAGGCCAATGTTAAAAAAAAAAAGACTGGGTGCAGCAGAAGCTGAGAGATCCTCCCACAATACATCTCAATATACTTTTTTTATGTCACTTCCTGCCAGCACCCTTATTTTGTAACTCAGGATTTATGTTAAAAATGTGTAGATTCCAAGTCTGATCCCTGATGACATTTTGCAGGTTATTTTCTCAAACTAAAAAAAAATCACCTTGCAGAGCCACAGAAAATATTTATTTAACTTTCACACTGAATACACGCAACTGTTGTAGTACTTAAGTTGCTCCCCAACGTTCCCCTTTAAATTATATAAATTTATTGGTATTATTCTCTAACATAAAGAATGTTATGTTAGTTTGTGAACGTTCACAGAGAGTGTAACTTGAGACCTTTACAACTTAAAGGCTGGTAGTAAGTATATGGAATATGCACTTCAACAATATATCAATAATTACAAATTTCAATATAGGCAGAGTCAGATGAGAGTATTGATACCACTCTCATGTCTTTATGTACAGTAAATATGGTGCTGGAGCCAGTAGTAAATTAGCTTAGCATAAATACTGGAAACGGGAAACCGCTAGCCTGGCTCTGTCCAAAGGTTAAAGAAAATCCACATACCAGCATCTCTTAAGCTAATTAACATATGTCATTTATAAATTTTGTACAAAAACCACGTTGACAAGTTGTTGTTTTATGTGTACTGCTCCTGACACAACTTACATACTTACTTACAACGTGTTAGGGAGCCTCAGAGGTGCTTGTAGGTGGATCGTGTTATCACCGTTGGACAGAGGCAACGGTGCCACCCCCCCTAATTTGTGCTCAAAACAAATTTTTTCCTTTCCCTCCCCTCTATAATCTACTAATTCTGCAACATCACCTGCAAACCCAAATTAGTATCCTCTCCATGTAATTTAATTACATGCTACTTAATTCAGTTCCCCTTCCTAAACATTGTTATTTCCTATTGCAATGATCCATAGACATCCAGATTTTACCCTCCTGTGCGTCCTCACTTTGTCACTCAGAGGGGACAGACAGTGAGGCAGGGAGAGAAAGCAGGAGCAGCCCGTAAAATGCTTTGCAAAAGGAGAGGGGAGAGAAAGCGCTGGAGACAGAGCAGATGCATTGGCAGGAGAAGAGCGGAGGCTTTTTCTTTCTCCCTCCTGTCTCTTTTGTTGTGTCGGTACAGATAAAAATCTGATGAGCGTGGGCAAGGACCGCCACCATTACCTCCATCACCTCACTGCAAGCGTGTCATCCCAAACCCTGGAGCTGGATCCAGTTTGGAGCAGGTTGTGTGGCAGGCTAACGGAGGGCTAGCGGGGGGCTGTAAAGCTCTGGCAGCGAGAAGAGGAGGGGGGGAAAGGAGGAGGGGCTGTGGTGAGCTGGTGGGCTTCCTCTGCCTCACAGACACATTTTATTGACTTGCTAATTGGATGAGGCACTCGGAGGAGAGGATGCGGTGAATGAGAGGAGCTCTCTCCAGAGGAGGGATACAGGCACAAGGAAGCACTGCTTGGATTGCGTAAATCCGGCTACTTCATTTTTTTTTTTCAATTTTCTGGAGACATAACAACAGATGTTTTTCAGCATCTCCCAGTGACCCTCACACCGTGCATACATAATTTTATGCATGACATTGTCGAATGGAGGCTCCTATTGCCAGACGCTTCGTGACAAGTGAATGATTTCCATTTTTATGTTTTTGCACCCTGTTCCCTGTCACCTATTTTTTCTCTTGGACTCATCAGCTGAATCTCTTTTCTTAGCCTTGTTTGATGTGCCATTTGATATGAATGGCAGTCTGATGGCAAGATAAATTCTTCATCATATCAAATCTACAAGGAACTGTGCAATGGATATTCTTCTGGGAAAATGAAGGTATGATATGATCAAGCCAAGACACACATACTGTAGTAAGTATCATTCAGCATCATTCAACCAGTATTCGTTTGAGACCTAGTCAAGAAATGGATCAAGCAAATGTATTGGCTGTTGCATAATTCCAGGCTGAAATCGGAGGCATCAGTAAAAAGAAATGTCTCCCCATATCTGTCCGTGGGTCTGCATGTCAGATTTGCACAGAATAAATGAGTTTAAGAAGGGAAGCAAAGCAGAGAAGAGGGGAGGATTATGAATGAATCAGTGGTACTGTAGAGACCAGTAGTAGCGGTGTGCATTGAGGAGGATTAATGGAGGCATTAAAAAAACAGTCTAGACTTGTTTCACCACTGGGTCAGCCTTTTAAAAATATTCTGGAAATTTGCAATTTGATGCATTCCTCTTCACTGACTCCTCATGTCTGTATATTAAAAGGGAACTGGGATTTCTGTGCACAGGCCTGATATCAGATACAGTCAGCTACACAAGGTTTTCTCAAGTGTTTGTATTTGATCTTGATCTAAGAGTTTCTGTCTCCTCTGCTTAAGTCTTGTCCTGGTTGCCATGACTGAGGTGTCCAGGTCTGGCTAGGTCAGAGAGCAGGTAGCACTGTGCTGAGGTCTGCTGTCCCAATGAGCAAGGCGAGCAACCCACAGAGACGTACCACCTACCTCATTTCCCTCACTCTGGTGAAGGTTGAGGCAGTGCCAGAGGATGTAGCAGGGAACCAGAAGGAGGCTCTTCCAGAGGGGGAAGGGAGCCCTAGGAAAGAGGAGGAGAAGGAGGAGGAAGAGGAGGAGGAGAGAGAGGCGAGCAATGCCCCTGGAAAGGAGGAAAGGCCTGTATGTACACCAGTGGTGGGAAAAGAAAACACACAGGTGGAAGAAGAAGTGGAACAGGTGCAGATCAAGTATGGCAGCCCCAATGAGAACTGGGGGAAGCTTGAGAGGAGGGAAACTCATGGACACCAAAAAGACATTGTATCAGTTGGTAAAAGCAAAGACACTTCTTTTGTACACCCACCTGTCAGGCAAATGGTCAGAGTGTATGGAGGAACTACCTCTGAGGGAACTGTGCGCAGGGAGGGGCCTCGCTCAGAAGCCTTGCGCCCTAAGACGGAGCTCTACCGAGAGCCCCCCATGCTGTTCCTGAAGGGGGAAAACGGAGCAGACCTGAACAGCCGTTCACGCTGCAGCCTCCCTTTTTCCGTCCCGCCGCCGGCCAGCCAGCGTCCTGAAGTCCTGATGAGGTCACATGCAGGAGGCAACTCTGCATGCTGGAGAGAACTCAGAGAGACCAATACAAGTCTGTATCACTCTGCTAAGACTTTGGATCGAAGGGATAATCGCATTGGGGACCAGTCCCCCTTAATGGCAGCTACAACTCTGGGGCCTTACAGGGCGTCCTGGGCCGACAGCGACGGCAGGGGCGCACTCATTCGCCCCGGCGCTCCCATAAGCGGAGGATTTTCAGGCGTAATGACCAGGGACAGTCCTCAGGGAGAGAGGTTTAAGACAGTTTCTATTTCCTTCCCTGCACCTCCTGCCACCGATGTGTCCAGGCCTCAAAGAAAAGGCACGAGTCGTACCCTGGATAACAGCGACCTACATTCCCTCTCTGAGGACCTGAAGAAAGGGAAGGAGGGCCAGGGAGGAACAATCCAGCGAGCTCCTCCCCGTGACCGAAAGATGCTCAAGTTCATTAGCGGCATTTTCACCAAAAGTGCAGCTACGCCTCCCAGCGTCAACACCGCACCTCCCCTCTACCCAGCTGTGGAAAGGGGCTCGAGTGAGGAGGAAGGTAGGGCCACCTCATGCATTTCCTGTATCTGCACATTTATGATGGGCTTAATGTTTGATCTCAGCATTTCTGCTGACATGATTTCATACATTGTGACTTTTGTTTTTGAGCCCCAAAGGGCTGCACATACTTGACAAAAAAAGAGGAAAACCATAATAAAGAGGGCAGTACATGACACGAACCATCATTCATACAACTCTGATGGAAAACTGCTCGTCTGTAAGAATTTGGTGATGGTGGCAAAAAAAACAGTCTCATCTATTGTTTAAATTCGCCCACTAGTGCTTGCTTAAGCTTAAATTTAAGCAGTTAAGTAAGAAGACCATTCTGTTTAATGTGATTATGCAGGATCACATATTTATTGTTACTTGCACTGTCCTCTCTGGAGTCAGGTGGACCTAAACCAAATGTTCTCCCACTTAGTCCCAGTGATGCTCTAATTCTAATTCATTAATTTACTTAACAGTAAACCTTTCATTTATTTGGGCATAGTTGCTGTAATACAGGCACAGTTGCGATGTCCAATTATCAGGTCAGTGTGAATTTATTCTGCTTATTTTCATGCAAAGTGGATTTGAATTCAGCCAGAGCACTAAAAAAGTGTCTTCTGCAGTCATTTTCAGTTAGCACACACTGTTGTAGTTTCTTTAGGTGAAGTAGATGAGATGTCTTACACTGCCTGTATGCACTTGCTTTGCTTTGAGAGAAATGCATACATAAACATTTTAATTAAAAGCTTTACAGGTGACCGGCGTCATGATAGGTAGTGAGAAGACCAACCAGCTGGTGAGGTGATCTGGGATCAGGTCTTTAGTAACCTCTCATGCCTTTGAGGGATTTTAATTCTGCTGGTTCATTACTGCCCCAAGCTTTCAGTGTATCTGAAACTCACTCTTAGGGCAACACAATAACTTGCAATAACTCATCTCATTTCACCATCTGGTGAAAATATATCATATCCATTAATGAAGTGCTTCTTTTCAAATATCACGCAGGCCTATAGAAACAAATATGAGGATCTTCCATGTGAGCTGCAGAAGGGAACAGCAGACTTTCAAGACAAAATGACATCTGAGTTATTAGTATGGCAGGTTAAGTTGTTAAAAGCCGCATGTTTGCAACAGTTACATGACATTCATCCCGTTAATAGTCAGATTTCACTCCATCATGGCACTAAAGGGTAAGCCATAACTCAGATTTATTAATGACGTAGAGCTGAAACAATTAGTTGATCATTCGATTAGACTATTTTAATAATTAATTAATCTTTTGGTCATTTTTTCCCCCATAACATTCTTTGTTCATAGCTTCTCAAACATTTTGATGGATTTGCTGGTTGCCTTTGTCTCATGTGATAGTTGTCAGTGTTTTGGTGTTTTGAACTGGTGTTCGGACAAGATAATCTCTTTGGAGATGTTGGATTTTAGGAAATTGTGGGCATGTTTGACTATTTTCTGACATTTCATAGAACAAACAATAAATTACTTGAATCGTCACATTAACTGGTAAGGATCATAATTGTTGCGATTGTTGCCCTACGATCATCACTAGATTTACATTAAGAATGTATCTAAATGTCAAGTTTATCATGTTCCTTTCTGAAGATCCTAAGTCCTCCAAAGGTCCTTTAGAGAAGGCAAGTTTATTTTTATATAGAAGGGAATTGAATATTATTTATCTGCAAATAAACCCTGTTGCAAAGATAAAAAATATGACAAACATACAACTAACTGAAACTGATTTTTACTGTATTAATGTTGCAGAAGAAGTTTTAAAATTTTGTACTGTTTGTTCATTATTATTAGTAATTAAAAGGGATACAATGTTATGATCCGCCTCCGTACTTTGACACAATGTTTTGGATCTCTGTTTTGAGGAAATCATCCTAAACCTGACACCCAAACAAACAGAAATTAGTTCAGTCTTGTCAAAAACTATGAAAACACTTCATGAAATATTCAGATGTGAAATAAAGCAAATGATGCAACTTTATCAATCTTTAATCTTTATTTATATTCTAAAGAGAATCTTTGACAGAGAGTGTGGTTTTGGAGTAAGCTCTGAATAATTTGTCAGTAGTAAGTGGGACATGAATAATTAAGGTTGGGGATACACAGAGCTGTGGTGTTCATCGGAGGAGTGAGGGGAGAAGGAACCTGCTACTTCCTGCTCTGTGCATGGATTTAATCAGCCTTCAAATGGGGCCTATTCATTCGTTGTTGATGCAGTATTGTCTTTTAAGTGTTTGTGAGCAGCATAGTCAACAACTTAGTAATCGTTTCAGCACATTATTGATAAAAATTTAATTAATAAAATATTGCTCAGTATTGTCAAAATGTGAGAGACACACACGGCATATTTTCTGTTTATATATGTGCACAGGTGGACATCACGTCTCTGTGCCTCTCACACACACACGTCGCTATATCCATGAGAGACCATTTATTGTATATAGACCCAGACTGGAGGCTTCTGGAAAATGGAGTTGCCATGGCAACAGCAAGCCGTGAGAGATGCTATTTGGTCTATGGTGTGACGCTGTTGATGGAGGGAAGTGAGGGGGCGTGGGGGATTGCCCAAAGATGGGGATGAGGGGGTTTAAACTTAGAACATGTGTCCCCAGAGAGCGGGCCGACGGCGTGGCTCCGCCCGAACACAACGTGACCCGACAGCTCTAGAGTGTGTGTGCAAATAGTAGCTGTGTCGTTGTCCAGAAAGTGTGTGTGTGTGTGTGTGTGTCTGTGTGTGTGCGTGCGTGTGCTTGTCCACACTGGCTGTTATTTCTTTCATTTGTCTTTCTCTGTTCAGCCTCTCCAGATCCATGTGGGCTTCATGGCTGTGTGTGTGTCTATGTTTTATTGAATGCCCATTCACAGAGGCACCTTTGCTGTAAGTGCTGATGTTAAAGCTAATGCACTCCAACCAGAATGTTAAGCGCAACCTCACTACAAAGATATATTCAGCAAACCTTTAAAAGTAGGACTTAGACCTTTAAAATAGTGAACGTATTGTAATCCATTTCATATAGGACATCAGCTTGTCCAATTGTCGTTTTCTTGACACCAGCACACTGTACCTCCTTTATTTAAGATATTTCAGATATTTGTCGCCCCAATCCTTGAAACTTCTGGAGGTATTTTATCATAATGTACTGGGTGAATCATTTAATTTCTTTCAAGAAAACCTTTATGGTTAAATATGAATATGAGAGAGCAAGTGACTTGTGATTTATATTTTCTGTAGAGTGTGGAACAGAAATATATCCATGCGCTCAGAATTAAATTAGAGAGTGAGCTACGGAGTAATAAAACTAAGACTATATTGTATCAGTTATTGTTGTGCTGTAACTCGCACACCGTGACCTTGCTGTCGGCACCATCTTTATGAATTTCTGTCATACAATTTAGCCTTATTTTAGTTTATCAGCTCCAAATCCAATAAAGCATTACCCACCGCCACACAAAAACCCCGCACAGCTGGGGAATCATTATGATCACAGTTAAGCAATGAAGTAGATTTATTTGGCCATAATCTTCACAACTTTTTATCATTGTGACACTTGGAACATAATGTAGGTTTTTAATATTAACACTCTGTCATGATGTTTTCGCTGCCAAGTGGATGTCCTTATCAGTAAAATCAAAGCCAGAAACCCAACACAAACACAGGTCTACTTAAGTTTTTAAACATTCATGAAATGGTAATGGATCATCTTAGTAATGTCAAATTGAAGCTACGAAGATGTGGGATCTTTTCAGGAGTTTATTTATGTTAGACACTTACACTTTTCTCAGACGGCCCGGACCAACAAGGTCGTGGGTTCGAACCCCGGTCGTCCCGGCCTTTCTGTGTGGAGTTTGCATTTTCTCCCCATGTCTGCGTGGGTTCTCTCCGGGTGCTCCGCCTTCTTCCTACCGTCAAAAGATATGTCCTTAGGTATGACTGGTTGTTTGTCTATGTGTGGCCCTGTGATGGACTGGTGCAGGGTGTACCCCGATGTCAGCTGGGATTGTCTCTAGTCCCCCGCGACCATGTATGACCCCGCGCATCTTTGGAGATGCTATTTGCCTCAACCTAAATTGAATGCTCTGTAACTGGATGAGTCACTTGACAGAAGTTATCTTCTAGCATTTCTAAGAGAGCCATTGTCCGACACAAAATAAAGATAAATAACCAACCCGTTCTCATCTAAGTGCGTCATTACCAACGCTTTATTTTAAGCTAAAGGTACCCTTCAGCGTCCGTATGAAACGCCACAGTTTGCTACGTCGCAGCAACATGAAGGAGGCTAACCCATACCTGCTAGCACGGCCGATGTGCACAGCTGTAGGATTAGCTGATTGACATGCATGAAGTCACATTTCTGACGGTTATGGTAAGGGTAGCGGGCTTCGGGGGGCTGTCAACACCTTCAACACAAATGTAGCTAGCTAGCTACCTAGCTGTACGAGACGCCCCAGAGCACCTCGCACAGACGCTAAAGGGTACCTCGGTATTGGACGCTCTGAGATGAGAACGGGCTCAAATAACTCAAAAGTAACCAAAATCCTGCTATAATCAGTCAGTATTAAAACATTGAGTCATTCTGGCCCAGATTCAGGCCTCAAGTGTGGTGGCCCTGAAGTGTAAAACACAACAGCATTTGTGAGACTCAAACCGGAATAGATAGGTACGGATTGGGCAATTTGACAATTTAAAAAGAGCAGTTTTGAAGTTATTAAAAAGGTGTTTTCTCTATTGTTTCCTGTTCCTCTTATAGCAGTATGACATTTTTAAAAATACTTAGATGTCTCGCTCAGAGTCAGATGAGAAGGCTGAGGATATTTGTCTCTCCAGTACAGAAATGGATGGAGATAGTTTTTCAGCCTAGCTTAGCAAAAAGGCTGGAAGCAGGGCAAACCCCAAATGTTACAGCTTCCAGAAACTCCAAAATTGTCTGCACTATTTATCCTGTATCTTACATCTTATTATGCAGCAAGTTACAAATACATAAAATTATTACAGTACTGAGCTTATTTACATTCCTCTCCCCTTCATTTTGTTTTCTTCAGCTGTATGCACCAGTAGTCAAGAATGGACCATGAGCCAAACTATACAAGAACTTCACTTGGTAAGTATTGAGACATAGCTTTTACAAACATGGGAGTGTCATTTAAAACCAAATTAATATTTTCTGTATGTGTGTGTGTGTGTATGTGTGTGTGTGTGTGTGTGTGTGTGTGTGTGTGTGTGTGTATGTGTGCGCGTGCGCGTGTGTGTGTGCTCTGCAGGGTGTTTTGGGAGGTTTGTGCAGCGGGAAGTCTGCTCTGGTCCATAGACACTTGACAGGAAGTTACCTGCAGCTGGAGAACTCTGAGGGTCGGTTTTACATGTCCTCATCTACAACCTTTGTGTGTTTTTCTGACACTAGAGCTTTGTCACAATGAATTTTTCTACTTCCCATACATAGGTGTAAATAATAACATGAATGCTGGCTGCATTATATTTAGATGATCCAGGACCGGGGCCAGGGCACGCTGTTAATGTTATGAATTATTCATGTGCCTTTCCTGCAATAACAAGTCTAAATATCTGCTGTGGTAAAAAGGACAATAACAACTCTGGTTTATTCCTACTGTGTATTTTCAGGGCGCCAGTACATTAAGGATGTCCTGGTTGATGGACAGAGCCACCTGTTGATAATCAGAGAGGAGACAGAACTCCCAGGTGCTCAGGTGGGTTTGGGAACTGATTGAACTTGGTAAATATGGACAACTAACTACACATGTCATAATTTTGGCCTCACTATCAGCCTGCTCCTGTGAAGTTCCGAGTACTACTCTTCTCTTCCTCCCTTCTCCTCAGTTTGCAAGTTGGGTGGATGCAGTTATCTTGGTCTTCAGTTTGGAAAATGAGGCCAGCTTCCAGGAAGTTTACAAAATCTACCACCAGCTCGCTGTCCACCGGCCTATTTCTGAGATACCTTTCATAGTAGTCGGCACTCAAGGTCAGACACTCGCACACAACACGGGCTTTCAGTCAAATGCTTGCAGAGGTGTTATGTTATCTTTGTGTTTTCTGCTTTTTCTAGACAAGATCAGCAGCACCAACCCCAGAGTAATCGACGACGCCAGAGCCAGACAGCTCTGCTCAGACGTGCGGCGCTGCACTTATTATGAAACCTGTGCGACGTACGGCCTCAATGTGAACAGAGTCTTCACTGATGGTACGTGTCCCTCCAGAAGCCAGACCAGAGCATCGAGGATTCTGCCACAGAAGATGCATGAATAAGAAGGTCACGTGTGTATTTTTTAGGGCTAATGCTTAGTTTTATTGTTCCACAGCTGCTCAGAAGATCATGGCAGCCAAGAAGCAAGCTGCTCTACTGGCGTCCTGCAAATCTCTCCCTAACTCTCCCAGTCACTCTGGAGGCTCCACCCCAGTGTCGGGCATCTTTCCAGGACAGGTGAAACTATTCCACACTGAAAAAATGGTGCACCATTTACGCGTACCCTTTCTTACTAAGTTTTTTGTATATTTTGGGCTTGCTGTCAGTTTTAAAGGCTATAAGCATGTTGTTGGAACAAACTCAACTATCTCCCTTATCTGCTCAATTGTCACATCATCGTCCCTACCCATCCCCTCCTGCCCTGGTTCTTTTCCTCGCTTTAGGCTAGTAACGGTGGTCAAAGCAGTGATTACTCCTCATCCCTTCCCTCCACGCCTGTGATCAGCCACAAAGAGATCGGCAAGACAGCGAGAGGGGAAAAACAGGATAGTGCCACGCCTGGGTCAGTCCGCAGTGCCACCCGGAGACGCACCTCCCGATTTGCGGTACATACTGGTCAAGTGTTTTTTTTCCAGGGGCCCAAACAGTCGTGCTGAAAATGGGAACATTTGTCAGGACATACCAAGGTCCAGTGGAAGAACATCCTCGTTAGCAGAATAGTCAGGATACTACATTTTACTGTTTCATACAATTTATTGGCAATTCCGTTTCACCTACATATACAAAACTTTGTCAAATCATTTAGATCGTAGTGAGCAGTTTGCTTACAGGGACCATAGAGTGGGGTTTGGGTGGGATAACCAGTGTCAACAGCACACAGCACCGTGATAGGCTGCCTTCTAAAACATTTTTCATGTTTTGTTTTGAGATGATAAAAGACGCAACTTGTCACTCTGCATAGTTTGTAGATACTATTACTTAGTGCAGCTTTAATGTAAGGCAGTATGGCACTGATAATAAACTAATTTCTATAGATGTGGTCAGCAGCAACTCCATTCCCATTTGGAATGAAATGAATAGTAATTTTTAAGGAGCACTTCGATACTTCATGACTCCTAAATTATATTTTTAACCAATTACCCCATTCTTGCCTCTGATGCAGTTTTACTGTCCTTTTGTTTAGGGCCGGCGAGGCAGTGACTCAAACAGAAGGAGTGCAGACTCTAAGGGCGATCTGGGCAGTGGGCGCTCCATTCCCATCAAACAGGTAGGACACACATTTGCACTTGATGCAGAAACAAATATGATGTATCTAATGGCCCTCTGCAGAGGACATCACATCAGCACTCACTTGAAATCAGACGTGTGCAGTTTCATCATGTGGAGTGCTGAAGTGTTGTGATCTGCCATATTGGCCTGATGAATAGGACAGTGGGTGTTTTTGGCTGCCTGCAGTCATCATGCTGCCGAAGAGTGCGAGATGAACGCACAAGACTTTTGGCAATAAATTCTCACTCTTTCGGTTTTGCCACCTCCAACAGGGCATCTTGCTGAAGCGCAGCGGGAACTCGCTCAACAAAGAGTGGAAGAAGAAGTATGTCACGCTGTCCAATGACGGCATACTGTCCTATCACTCCAGTGTCAATGTGAGTCAGCGTGTTGACGGAGCGCTCTGAAGCATTATGCTGCTGAAAGCACCACTAAGGCTTAGTGGTTGATAGTAATGCCTGATGTTTGGCTTGGCAGGAGTACATGCTGAATGCCCCCGGGAAAGAGATGGACCTGCTGCGAGTGACAGTGAAGGTGCCAGGAAAGCGGCCACCTCGTGCTGTACCCACCTGCGGCCTTCCAGTCGGGCTCAACGGACGGGTTAAAGATGTGCCAGGACCTGAGGGTGTCAGCCCAGGTCAAAACATAACTTTACTTACTGTACATGGCTAGAAAAGAAGAATAGAAAGCAATTAATTAAGTTACCCAAATCTGTGAATAAACAGGAAACAATGACAAAAACACAATCTAAGTAGTGTTTCCTATCTATCGGAGGAATTATAGCATTAGAGTGTGCATATAAAAATGGCAATGCACTGCCTTAAACTGAAGATATTTCATAGCTCTGGTCCTTTTCATTGTGGAGTAGTGGTACGTGTGAGTTGGTTAAAATGTAGGACCTAATGATCCTGAATAGGAATGAGTAGGAATGTTAAAAATAGAAACAATGACACAAGGGCGAGAAGGTAGGAATTTTAAGATTTTTTGTTTTTGTGAAGTGGGGTCAATCCTCTGTACCAGAAAGGGGGAAAAACTGCAAGGGAATGTAAAATTTTTGGAAAAGAACAAAATGGCATCATAAGGGATTTTACAAGTATCACAAGAGTATGTGAAAGACTTGAGGACTCATATTCTCTATCATTTATTTTCTCTGGTATGCTGAATCAGTAATGTATTTTTTAATTTCAGTAGCCCTGGTTTACATTTATGTTTGTCTACATTACTCTATTATTAAGTGCATGCTGGTTATTATCTCTTTAGTCCCTGTAAGCGCCAGCAGCTTCCTGCAAGTGGAGGAAATGGAAGGGCTGGGTGGTGCACTGTTCCTGAGGGGTAACAGAGGCATGCAGCGATGTCCCTCTACACTATCTAACCACGCACAAAGTGTTGGTGAGCGATGTGCCCTTTCATTTGTGAATATATTTAGTGTCCAGATACCAGATACATTTAATTTGGTATGTTCTTGTGTGATCTTGTTCCCAGACTCTGCAGTTGAGGGGGTGTCCAGCTCCTCCTCCACCAAAGACGTGGGCTCCTCCTCCCCAGTTACAGACAGGAAGAAGCATCGCAGAAAGAAGAGCGTAAACCAGAAAGGAGAGGCAACCATTGGCCACGCTGATGGTAAGCGCTAAGAACTCCACGTGTTTTCATATTCACCATAGCAATAAAAACAACAATCATACTCTGACCATTTTGATATGATGTTAATTATTAAAAAGTAATAACTGATAACTTTACATTAAATATGATCAATAGCCGTAACATTTATTATTTCCTATCTTTGTCTTGTTGTCTTTTCTGGGACATTTTTTGTCTTCTCATGCAGCCAAGCGCAAAATGTGGAAACTTAAAAGCTTTGGTAGCTTAAGAAACGTAAGCAAGACAGGTAATGTTGATCTGTCGTGTTGCATCTCTCAAACTCTTACTGACCCTCTGCACACGTTAGTCTAGAGAAGGACATTCGTATCAGGCTAAATTACAACAGTTTAACTACATGTAATTTAGCATGTAGGACAAATTTTTGGTTATAAACATAAAATGACTTGCTTATGCCTAACAGTAGTCAGACATGGATGCTTACCTGCACTGATGCATGCAAACTGAAACTTTTTAGCTCTTAATGTTAACAAACTATTGATGATATGTCTACGTGTGACTACTAGAAGTTCCTTAAAGGGCAGAATAATATATGATGAAAATTCTCTGCTGTGTTCGTGTTTTTCTGTGTCAGATGAGGATAACTTTGACTTCCTCATTGTGTCGAGCACTGGCCAGACATGGCACTTTGAAGCGCAGAGTGTGGAGGAGAGAGACTCCTGGGTCCAAGCCATTGAGAGCCAGATCCTGGCCAGCTTGCAGCTGTGTGAGAGCAGCAAAAACAAGGCAAGAATGAACAAAAGTGCACTCTCTATAGAGAATGCATACACTTCATTAATTATGTCCATAGTGGGCTTGGAACCGCCATTTCATCACGTTTTAACTGTTGTTGCTGTAATAGTGAGAACTCTAGTCATAAAAAGAAAACGTTTGTGATGGAGTACAACAAGAAAATTAAAAGAAAAGGAAAAATAGAAATATTATTACACCTCCGCTCCTCTGATTGTACTTGTACACATTCAGTTCATCCATGGCCTCCATGATTTCACTGTGTGTAGCCAAGCTGATTAGGATTTAGCGTCTTGTTTCAAAATAATATTGCCTTAGATTTTATAATAGATTGTTTCCATTATATTATTATTTTGTGTCCGTTATTTCATGAGGCATTACACCTAATAAAAAATGATTAAAATATGTGGTTGAAGTCTTTAAAGATTTCTTCACATTCCCTCAAACACGTAGAAGATGACCATTTAGCATATCTATTTGAGGTAATAAAATACTGCTGTCTGTATCTTCCAAGCATATTCTCTCCACATGTGTGAAGCAATTCTGTTATGTGCCCCTCTACAGCGATAATTGCATTGACAAATGACAAAATATTATGAATATTATGACATAATGTTCTCTCAGTTACTCCTGGAAAACATTGCAGCCTCTATTTTCATCCATGAAACGCAAGCAGAGGCTCAAATGCAGCTGCAGTGCCATTATTGTTAGTATTATGTGGCCCCAAATGTACCTGCATTGAGGAGGGCAGAATAATGCACCTGAGGTTGTGTTTATGCAGATCAGGGGGTGTAGGGCAATACTGGTACATCATCTCTTACTGCAAGTCTGTAGAACAATTCTTTAGGCTTTTGTTGAATATGTTACAGTGAAATCATTTGTATAGCAGAGAGTACAGGAAGTGGCTGCAGGAGGCGGCCTGAGCCCCATCAAAGATTTAAGCATTTTTCCAAACACAGTTTTCTATTGACAATCAAAACCAATCTTTTAGTCTTTACTTAAAGTTTTGTAGCAGAAGTGTTTTACAAGTAAATGTATCCAAGTATGACTACTGGAAGGCAACCGTACATATATATAACCTTATTTTTTAGCAAGCAAAATATAGGCAACAGATAGTAATTGTGGAAACAGTCATTACTACATTTATTGTATTATACTACGTAAATTCAAATTTAAATGTCTGCCCTTAGAGGTACATTTGGAGGACTGTTTAATCATATTTGTGTGCTGTGTATTTGCACCTTGGGACTCCTGGCGCAGTTTTAGGAGGACTCTTAGGAGAAGCTGGCCTAGACTTTCTTCTCAACCTATTAGGAAACTGCCGCTGATTTAAAGGGGATGAGGGCTAATTATATTGGCTATTACCAAAAGAACAGCATGTGGTCCTGTCCACTAATGGCCTGTGCTGGTTTCTGTTCTTGAGTGGGGAGTGTGTCCTGGTGTGGAATAAATTCAATCATCTCCAAAAATCACAATTGTCACTAATGTAATGATTCTGAATAATTACTTGAATCCCTTGATGCATGTCATTATTAGTGTTATGAGAATTGTGTGTCCTAGGAGGCTAAAACCAATAATTTTACAGCTTTTAATGGTCATAAAAATGACTATAGCCTACTACCACAACCTTTTCACTTTTCACACAGTTTTGAAACTTAATAATCATAATTATTAGTAATGAGAGCAGCTAGCAGAGCTAATATCGCACAGGGTTATTTTACTGGTGTGTTTCTTTCATTTTAACCTCCACAGGCTCGCAGGAACAGCCAGAGTGAAGCAGTGGCTCTGCAGGCGATCCGCAACGCAAAGGGCAACAACTTTTGTGTAGACTGTGATGCTCCAAGTTAGTGACACACATTAAAAGCTTTTCTCTTCCTTGTGCGTGTTCATATGTGGGTCTGATTTGGTACCCATTACCCATCTCATCTTTCAAGCACCTCCCAAGCACCTCTATTATTTGGTCTTTGCTTATTTTATTTTTTTTCAGTGTCTGGGATGTTGATATAAGAATCATCAACTACCAAGCTGTCCATACCACTGTTGGCTACCTTTTTAGGAGGGGTGAGAATCAGTGAAGAATGCGGCGAAAATCCTTTGTAGGGCGCTTGAAGCCCATCGTCCACTGTGGAAAATGGTTTTGAGCATTGAAATGTCATATGGAAATGCTTTTGACATTTTGAAGCTGAAGAAACGTACTCATTTAGAACTCATTACCTAAGTGCTGTGCTGAATCTGAATTGTGTCGTCATCCAGTCCTTGAAATAACTTTTTTACTTCCGTAAAAATATCTGCCAAACAAATTCCTTCAATGTTAATTGCAATGTAAATTAACCAATAGGAAGGAGTACAAACATTTTAACGTTCGATTTGAGTCCAACAGAAGCAATGGGGATCCAAGCATATTAATGATGACCCTTAGTTTTTAGAAATGTAGTCCATGTAGTTCATTTATAACCCTATAATTTAAAGAGGTGGTATTATGCTTTTGGGCCTTTTCCCTCTGATTTATTGAGTTATATACCTTTTTGTGCATGTAATAGGTTTGCAAAGTGAAAAAGCCCAAAGTCCAGCCCAAAGGGAGTTCCCATCTCCCACAGAAAACCCTGCTCTGAACAGCTTGAAAACAGCTCTTTTATAGTCCAGCCGCTTCCCTTTCATCCCTATGTCGTCACAGGGATGTGCCTCATATAACGCTCACCAAGCTGCTAATCCGACACGCCCCCAAACACTAGCTACCCTCCAGGCAGTTAATAGACATAAAGTTGTTACTGTGATGTAGAAACAGAGCTCAGTTAAAACTTTATGAATGAAAGATACTTTTGTTACAGATTAATAACTCACCACTCTGAAACTCTTGCTCCAGTCTATGTTGCCAAGCTGGTAGGCAACACGTAGCCTACAGCTTAATTGAAGTTCTTTATGGGCTTCTCGCTGACCTGCCCTTCTCTGCTTCTGATTGGCTAGTAGTCCTTTAATAGGAACTGCGCATGCGCAGCTCCCAACAAGGATCATTTAGAGACAAGATTTATCACTCCATAGCTAAAACGAAGCCTTCAACACACAGGGTGAAAAGAGGAGCTGCAGGAATGTGCAGTATGACAAAAAATATGGTGTTTTTTGAAAATTAAACCATGTAAACCTGTTCTGGTACAAACACTAAATAAGACTTTGAACCTGAAAATGAGCCTAATATGACCACTTTAAATCAGGTTCTTGATCACTAAACCAAACAAAAATAGATCAAATGATTAATATTCCAGCAATATGTTGTGTGTACCCTTCTTCTCCAAGATCCAACCTGGGCCAGTCTGAACCTGGGCGCTCTCATATGCATTGAGTGTTCAGGGATCCACAGAAACCTGGGGACCCACCTGTCCCGTGTTCGCTCGCTGGACCTTGATGATCTGCCGCGAGAGCTCACACTGGTTCTCAGCGCAATCGGCAACCACATGGTCAACAGTATATGGGAGGCGCGCACTCTGGGCCGCCGTAAACCAGCGCCTGATGCTACACGGTAAAGACGTCTGGTCAAAATAAGACAAGAATATTATGGGATGTAACATTATTGATGTGACATAGGGCACCTTAGTTAAATTCTTTACACTATGTAGGTATGAGCTGCATACAAGTTTCAGTAGAAAGACAAGAAGCTGTAAATGTGTTTCACTGAATATTCATAATTTCTCTTTGCTTTCTGTGCTTGTTCAGTGAGGAACGGGAGTCATGGATCAGGGCCAAATATGAGCAAAAACTGTTTGTGGCGCCGTTGCCTCCTCCCACACCTGGCGAGGGCCCAGACATCACGCTATCTGGGCGTCTTCTCTTGGCAGTGATGGAGCACAACCTCCCCAAGCTGCTGCTCCTTTTGGCCCACTGCACTAAGGAGGACATTAATGCCCCTCTCAGCCTGTCGCTCTCCTCCAGGTCGCTCTTGGCGCTGCGGCTGCCGGGCTCTGCCCTGCACGCCGCCTGCCAGCAAGCCGATGTGGTGATGACGCAGCTCCTTGTTTGGGTGTGTTTCCCTCCCTCTCTGTTATAGGAATCAAGAAAAACCTTTGTATGGATGATCTGACTCATATCACCAAAGAAGTGCAATGCATAGGAATAGAGACGTTACAGTGAAGGTGCAGTGTTGACGAGATGTGAAATGATTTAAAATGTCTTGTTAGTGCATCAAAGCAAACCATCATGTTGACTTATGCAAAACTGGCAAAATAATCAACATTCCCCTTCAAGAAACTCTAAGTGATCCCTTCAGCAAAAAAAACGGATGACTCAGCAGACCACTCAAGGTGATGTGTTTGTGTAAAAGGCAGTGAAGCTCACTGAGTCATGCCTTGTTGGAATAATTTAAGACAGTCCTGTCAGGTCTAAGTTGCAATTTATTCCACTTGATAAAATGTCCTTAAAATGTGGTATATGGGGTCATTACGTAATCTAATACAGTTTATTATCTTCTGTGATTCCTTTCAGTATGGCTGTGATGTTCGATCCCGGGACACTCAGGGGCAGACAGCGCTGGTTCTGGCTCGCAGCGCCGGCAGCCAGGAGTGCGTCGACATCTTGCTCCAGTACGGATGCCCAAATGAACCAGTCACGACAGCCGGCTTCGCAGCAGCCGTGACATCCAGCTTTTCTGTTGCCATGACGCCCAGCCTGACAGTTGCCACGACACTCAAGATCTCGCACAAGAGCGGCGGCACCAGCTTGAGTTACAGCACCTCTAGAAGAGCAGTGTCATAATCGAAATGTGGTGTGGTGAAGTGTGTGTGTGTGTGTGTGTGTGTGTGTGTGTGTGTGTGTGTGTGTGTGTGTGTGTGTGTGTGTGTGTGTGTGTGTGTGTGTGTGTGTGTGTGTGTGTGTGTGTGATTGTCGCTTTGCCATCATGGTGTCACTCACACTGGCCAGCAGGACTGATGAAAATGTTGCCAGATGTTGCACTCGCTGAGGTTTTAAGGGGTGTGTGTGTTTGTCAGGGAGGAAAACACATGCTTGTAATCACACAGGCACATTCAGTCTGCTAGAATGATTTAACCAAAACAAAAAAAAAGAAATTTTCCTGACTACACTTTCTACGTAGAGGGTAGGATAAAAGATAACAGATTCAATAGGAATGTATTGCACTGTATACCAGCTGGTATGATTCATATTTCATCGCGCAGTCAGTATTTATTCTCCACTCAATTCAGAATGGAAATTCACCTTTGGCAGCAACTGCTTATCTGAGCATCTAGTTCCCAGGAGTAAAACAAAACGCAATACGTTTATGACTTCATAGATGGACATCTCTGTTTTTCAAGCCTGTCTCTATCTGCTTGAAATTTCAACACTAAACACATCCACCCTTCTTATCTTTATTGACAGCGAATGTCAGTTTTAAATTCACAGTGCATATCCTGAGTTACATTCAACACAGCCGGTCATTCAGTGCATAAATAGTAATTTTGTGTAAGTTTAAAAACAAAAACAAAAAACTTTACAGTGGCTGAAAAAGGAGGGGCTGTTTTACAGATAATCAAAATAACTGTATAGAAATTGATAAAATATTGTAATTCTAAAAATTTAAAAGTGCTTCATTTTCGAGATTGTTATTGTATGATTTGTACAGTTATGGTTGTGTGTATAAAACTCAAAGGGTTACTCATGGCTGTTCAGAGATTTCCTGTACAGCGTCTTGGTTTGTTGTTTCCTTTAATAACCACCTGATTAACTCTTTGACATCCTAGACTGAGATTTCTATGTTAAATTTGTATCACTGTGTGTGACATATACATGATGTGCACATTATGACTCCAGCAGCAGCTCATTATCAAAGCGAGTGTAATACTAGACGTGTAAAGGAACAAGTGAAATGCCTTCATTTTGATTGAATGTATACAAAAACCAATGGTTTGAGTTAATTGTTTCAAGCACTAATATGTGTTTTCCAGATTATACCGTTTCGGCGGCCTGTCGGGGTGTTTTATCTTTAATTAACTGTTATTATTCCTGCTGTGACTAATAGAACTTTAAAGTATGGTTTAATAGATTCAAACATGGCAAAGGTTATGACCTATAAAACTGGGCCTTCAAATGACTATGATAATATTTGTAAGTGTATGAAAATCCACATAAAATAGAAGAATGTTGCTCAGTTTAAAATTTAAAAAAAAAGAGGCATAAAAACAGTACTGTATGTATTTTTGTGTTAATCTGAAGACTCCGCTGAGTGTACATGTCTGTGATGTAAGCATCTCTCTCCATTTGTATTTTTTTACTCATGCAATGATTCATAGAGCATTCATTATCAATACACTAAGGCTACTGCCCAAGCTGTGTTTGTTTTGTTCAGACTAGTGTGTGTTTTTCTTCTGTGTCTGGGCTCATCACAGACCTTATTTCTAAATGCAAGCTGAGTTAATTTTTTTAATTTCCAGCTGTGTCAAAATGAACAACAACTGTTAAAGAGGGTGAGGGAGACGTCAGCACACAGGAACATCATCATATATATATATATATATACAAACCTAGCTGAGAGCTGTTTTCTGGACAGGTGGAGCCATCAGCCAGTGGCCATCACTTAACACTCGCCCAGCTGATATCTTCTGGATCAAACCAGTTCTTGTTAAAGGCCCCTACTGGCTTTGACCTATTTCTTTCTAGGTTGAAGTCATGGACTCGGTTTTTATACCTTTTGCCAAGATGGTTTCAATTTCACAGATTCACTGCAGAAAGGTGTTTTTCACATATACAGACAAACGTGACATAACAAACACAATAATAATTCAAGAATTGGTGCCAATATGGGAATGTTTGAGATTTGTAGATGTTGGTGTTCAGGAGCTACACTGAAATATCAAATATATAAGGTATAGCCTATATCATAAAGGTAACAGTTAACCCCAAACCTCAATTCTATTTCCTTTTTCCTAGTGTGCTATATACATTTCCAAACAGAATGTTCTCAGTGGCATTTAGTTTATAAAGCTCAATGTACCAAAAATACACCGAAAATGGAGGCAAAGCTCATCAGCAGCAACAAGATTGTTCATAATAAGACCGGAATTGTTTTCTTGATAACTCAGAAGACCAAAAGCCAGAAGCACCAGCTGCAGTTATAAACTCAGCCTAGTAGTGTTAAACGAGTTCAATTAAAACAGATTCCATCACACAAACTAGTTCTTACATAGAGATTATTGGCAAACTGTACCAAGTGACAAAACTAACGTTTGCTTGCTAACATATGACCCATTTAGAGTGGACTAAAGGAGGTAAGAGGAAATGAAGTCAACATATCTGACTTGAAATTTGATCGATGCTGTTTAATAATGATGTTAACCTTAAAAGTTTTAAATCACATTTCACAAAAATATCTTCATCAGGCCAGAATTTGTGTGTATGGAAGGTGCAAACCCAATCTGGAGTAGCCTACAAGCCTTTGCATCCTTCTCCTGTGCCCTCATATATGACTAATAAACATCAGGCTTGTACATTTTTTACCAGTGCTTTGCTCTTGAATATGTATGTTGAATACAAATACTTACCTCAAAATAAAATAAAAACATTTAAAGAAACAAATGTGTTACTTCACAGGTGAATTTAACATAATGTTGAAATAGTCTACTATTAGTCTGCTACAAACAGACACAGCTGCTGTGTCTGTTTATCTCCAGTTCTTGCCGTATCTGTCTAGTTTCAAACAGTATAAACTACTAAAATGCATTTTGTCTGTATTTTAAAGTTACTGTCACATGCTTTGTCTCTCTTAATCTTCTTGTCCGTCCACTGCCTGTTTGTCCACTCACCTACTAAAAGTGAAATCCTCGTGAAAATCTCAGAAGGAGATTCAGAAATGTGTGCCAGGAGGGCTGGGACAGGGGAGAGGGTCTAAATAAGGACATAAATGCTTTACCACTGAGAATACATTTTAGAGGAACACATGTACTGTTGGATCTGGGATGCCATCACATTTTGCTTTCACTCACATTCCCTTGCTAGAGTCACTTCAATATGGATATTACAAAGTACAAGGTCGATATATTTATCACTTTTCATTACAGGGTATACTGTATATAACGAGATGAAGTTGCTTGGTATATGAGTACCAAAGATCTTCAGGACGGTTTTAATTACACACTGCAGACTGCCCTTCTGTCCTGGGCCGTGCACATCCCATGCCAGTTGATGATGTTTCCAGTCAGGATGCTTTCTATTGCTCTTCTGTAAAGGTAACAAGAACTTGGCACAGGAATTGTGTCTACTTAAAGCAACGTTATGCAAGATTTGGTATGTTTTGTTTTGGAGCTAATTCACCGCTGTCGTAAATAAGGACAGCTGTACACATGCATTTGTTATGATGACATTAAATCTGTTTATAAACTAGTGAGTGGAAAACTTTTGCAAACACAGCCAAACATCAAGCAAGTGCAACAACAGCAAGAAGGCCAGCTCGGCATCTGTCTTGCATCTTTTCAGCTCTTTTAGCTCAGATAAAATTACTACATAATGTTGATTAAACTTTCCTTAAGATGATCCTTAGTTGAAGTTTCATCGTTGTTTGAAATCCGGCCGATGGTGGTGGTGTCGTCAAGAAATTTCACAGCAGAGTTCTCTTCATGTAGGGGGATGCAGTCGTGGGTGTACAGTGTGAACAGGAGGGGGCTGAGCACACAGCCCTGGGGCGCTCCGGAGTTGAGCACTAGAGTGGAGGACAGTCCGCCAATCCGAACTGACTGGGCCACGCTTTGGACCTCATTATCTCACATGGGCTTTCAGTTTTACTTGAGGAAATAACAAAATCCGGTATCTCAGATCACTTCCCTATTAGATTTGAGTTCAGTGTTCCACCACCCGCTAGTAAACCCGTCTGCCGCTGGTGTGATGCCGCTGCATCACACCCTCTTTAGGTGTAGAGTTTGCTTCTGCGTTTATGGGCTCACAGTTTTATGCTATGAATGGTCTGGTCTCTCCTTTTTCCCCAGATAATGTTCTCTCTGTGTTTCATTCCACAAGCACTGAAATTTTAGACTCTATTGCCCCTTTTCGGACTAAAGCTATTAAACCTAAGGTGGATCCCTGGTTAAATGACGCCATAAGGGCCCTTAGGCAACATTGTAGACAAGCTGAACGAAGGAGGAAGAAGGACAAATTATTTACATCACTGTGCCTATTAAGGGACAGCCTAGCCGCATACCAGAAGGCTGTAAAGGTGTCGAAGATGCATCTTCTTTCGATCATAACTAGCAGTTGCAATGAACCTAGACTTTTATTTAATACCATCAACTCTGTGTTGAATCCATGTACCTCTGATCCGACAGAGGTTTCAATTAGTACATGTGAGAAATTTCTTTTTCTATTTTACTGACAAAGTAGCATCTGTCAGGCAGAACGGCAGTGCTAATTTTAACGTGTTTGTACCTGCTGCTCCTATGCGTTCTGCTGTTTTTGAGGATTTTAAACCAGTTTCGCTTACACTGCTTTCTGAGCTGCTCCTCTTTCTTGTGGGGTACCCCAGGGTTCAATTCTTGGCCCAATCTTGTTTTCTTTATATATGTTGCCGTTAGGGAGTATTATAGGAAAGCACAACCTGTCCTTTCACTGTTATGCTGATGATTTGCAGATTTATTTGCCTTTAAAACCGAATGTTAGTGTTGCACTAGACTCCCTACTTAGTTGTATTAAAGATATTAATATGTGGTTGTCACAAAATTTTCTTAATTTAAACAAAGCAAAAACTCAGTGTATCATCTTCGGTAACCCAAATGGTTCAGCGGTGAATTTGGGGGCTCTGGCTCCATACCTTAAGCCTGCCGTCAGAAATTTGGGGGGCACTTTTGATTGCAACATGAAATTTGACTTGCAAATCAGTAATGTAGTCAAAATAGTTTTTTCCAGCTTCGTCTTCTATCTAAAGTTAAGCCTTTTCTTAACAGGCATGACCTAGAAAAAGTGATTCATGCCTTTATTAGTTCAAGGTTGGATTAAATCAAAGCTTCATCTCACGACTTCAACTTGTGCAAAATGCTGCTGCTCGGTTTTTAACAAATACATCTAGGCGTGCTCACATCACTCCCGTCCTCTACACTTTACATTGGCTCCCAGTGCTGTATAGAATAAATTTTAAGATTTCGTAGAGATCGTTTTTAAGGCCCTAAATGGCCTGGCCCGGAGTACTTAACTGACATTTTAACCCTGCGTGAGCACAGCCGGTCGTTACGGTCTTCAAACCAATTGGTTTTAGAAGTCCCAAGGTCGAAGTATAAGCGATGGGGTGATCAGGCGTTTGCAGTTGCTGCTCCGAGACTCTGGAACAAGTTACCCCCTGATATTCGCACAATTGCAGATGAAACTATTTTTAGGTCTAAAATTAAAACCCACCTGTTTAGAATGGCTTTTAATATGCAGTAGTGGCGTGACAATTTCCTTTTTCTTGTTTCTTTTTAACTTTTCTTTTCTTTTTTTTGTTATATATATCTATTGTATGATATGCTGTTTTATTATATTTTATGATGTGAAGCACTTTGGATACTTGACGGTTGTTGTAAAGCGCTATAGAAATAAATGTTTATTGATTGATTGATTGATTGATTGATTGATTGGGGTCTGTTTGTAATGAAGTCCAATATCCAGTTGCAGAGTGTTGTACTATAGCCCAGAGTGCTGTGTCTGCTGATTGGTTTCATGGGGGAGATTGTGTTGAATGCTGAGCTGAAATCCACAAACAACATTCTGATGTAGGTGATGTTCTTCTCCACTTGTGTGAGGCTGAGTGGAGGACAGTGGAGACAGCATCGTCTGTGGATCTGTTGGTGAGGGTCCAGGCCGACTAGGATGTTAATCTTTATGTGCTGAAGAACCAGTCTCTTAAAGCACTTAATCAGAATGGGTGTAAGGACTGTTTACTTTCAGACCTGACATGGCAGACTTTTTTGGCACAGGGACGATGGTGGCATGTGTAGGCATAGCATGTGTGTGTGTAATTGCAGTGGAGGAACACTTGCTGAAGAGAGGGAGCGGTGGCCCAGCTTCACCGGTGTTGTGCCGAGTTGTCCACACCTTGCGGGAAAATTTATCACCGTTGATGAACCACACAAAGAATATTATATCGTTTTTAAATAGCCAGCTACTTGAAATAGACCCGCGAGGAACCGCGACGTGCATGCAGTTGTCAGCAGCATGTCGTGCACGCAAAACTCACACAAGACAGGTGAATGGCAGGCGAGAGAGAGAGAGAGAAAAGGGTCAACAATAAGCGCCAGTTTAGCTGGAAATTTACAGTGTAAGTTGAATGAATAGCGACACCCACAGAGGTTGGCCCATACTTGCTAACCCTGCTGATTGTCATTGCCCTCTTCTGGTTTACTTTCAGAGACAATGCTCCTGATTTCCTGTATTTCTCTTCAATTTATGACAAATGTTCACAGCTTTGTGTCCTTTTCATTGCATTCATTACAGTTTCTGGCACTGTACAGAGCATTTAAGCCCAAAAACTCTCTACTGTTTCTATTCAGACAAGTAGCATGCACATGAAGCAGAATTGTTATGATGGTTGCTCTAGAGTGACGTCAGAGTTGCATGAAAGAAATCTGATCTGTATCTGATTTAGAGCACATATGAAAGTGGCCCAAATCCAAACTGGAAAAGATCAAATTCCATTTGACTTGCACTGTTCATATTGATTTAAAAAAAAAATCAGATCTGACTCACATATGAGCCAAAAAATACAAGGTCTGTACTCTGAACGTTGCCTTTGTTGAGGAGATAATAATAATAATAATATAATAATAATCCTTATTTGTAGAGCACTTTTCAAAAACAAGTTACAAAGTGCTTTAACAAGTGTAAAGAATAATACAAAAAAGATAAGAGCATGAAAATTTAATATAAAATTAGTAAAATACAATAAAATAAAAGGGATAAAATAAAGTCAAATAAGATCGGGAAAAGCTCTCCTATAAAAGTATGTTTTAAGAAGGGACTTAAAAGAGTTCACCGACTCAGCCGACCTGATTTCCTCGGGGCCCTGACAGAAAACGCTCTGTCCCCTTTAGTTTTCAGTCGAGACTCTGGAACAGACAACAGACCTCTGCCCGAGGATCTCAAGGTACGTGCTGGTGCGTATGGGACTAAAAGGTCAGAAATATAACAAGGCGAGATGTCACATATCTTTGGTGGTGTTGTTGTGTTGTTAAATAGTTAATATCATTCAGAAGCAGGTAAAGTGATATACAGTATGAGGATGGATCCAAGCTATTTACATGCATGTGACATAAAAGCTCTTTGATCAGTTCACGGTTTAATAATTTGTGTGCTGTGGTGCCTTTGAGATGATGCAAGTGTGTATGTGTGTGTGTGTGTGTGTAGCATCCCCTGAAGCTGACACAACATTGCAGTGCCATGTAATATAATAAATACTGAACACTGAGCAGCACTACTGGAGAAGTAAAACTTTTCAGCTTCTTTCAAAACACAAACAAAACAATTGGTACTTCATCAGCAGCAGCTTGTTTTACACAAATATTTACAGAAAATGGAAAATTTGCATTTCTTTACTGTTAAGGAAAACAAAACAGTGAAACTGGTATATTTGTTTCTCTTTGGGAAGATTTTAAGTTTTAATAGCATGTAAATGTATTCATAATACATACATACAAAACATTTCCAATGGTTTTAAATATTTATGTAATAATTACATGCTATTTTTCATTTCAGTTTTCAATTTAAAACACACATAAAAATTGGGATGTCAGGCAGCATTCATCTTGTTATGTTTGTGCTATTTATTTAAATCTGCATTTGGCAACATTTCATAGCTCACACTTGAGAAGGAGATGTGCATTGCATTGTTGCTAATAGAAACCCTGTTGATTTGCCCAACTTGTTTTCTTCTGCTAAGTGTTGTCACTGGTGGGAAAAGAGAGAGCACAAATGAATATATAAGAGCATTACATAAATGTTTCTCCCCAGCAGCTGTGAGTGAGACTTCCATTGAAGGAAAACTGGACACATCCACAATAAATGTTTTGACATTTTTCTCATCCTCTCCACCCCCCACTGGCTTTTAGGAAGAATAGATTTTCAGAGGTGCTTACTAACATCACCTCATGTGTTATCTTTTTGGTAATCCTGCATCACTGGGTGCCATGCAATATCAAAGCAGTGTTACAGAAACTTTAAGTGACCGCAAAAGAGAACCGATTAGCAACATCAAGTCTCCAAGAAAACTTTCCCTCCTTCATCTGCAAAATGCCAGTTTTTTATTCAAAAGAAATGCACAGTGCATCTTGCAGTACAGAGGGTAAATGGAGGGTAAATGCTCAAAAACCACATAGATCATTTAGAAACTAACAGTTCCATTTTCAGTGCTTCCTGATGTTGATTTGTGATGACGTAAGTATTGCATAGCGAGACTCCTCTTGTATTAAATGAAGTGAGGGAAGCCTGGACCGAATCCTTAAACTAGGCAAAGATCTTAGCGATGAACTCCCGGAAACGTTTAGCGTACTGCTCTGGGTGAACTGTTGAGATTTCTGCTCCTGCCTGCAAAACACACACAGCCACAGTCGTTCACAGATGACTGAAGAAGAAAAGCAACCCTTTAGACTTTGCAGGATAGAGGTGTAAAGGCTGCACATGGCTAACCGATCCCTTTAAACAACACTCTCTCACCCCGTGTTTGACAGCTTTGGCAGCATGAGCAGCTTTCTTCTTGGTGTCGTACTGTGTCAGCACGTCAATCAGACCCATAAAGTACACCTCCCTGTGGGGGGCACCTACATGGGAGCGATTCACAACATTTGGTGAGTAACATTGATCCTATCTGCTGTAGCCCAGCAGGAAATGAAGTTCATGTGTTTTACAGTGGAAGTATCTCAGTTGTCAGGACTCACCTACAGCGCTCTGAATAGCGTACACATCCACATAAGGGTTGAACTCCCCGGGACTCATGGGTTTGAAGGAGTTCATGTAGCCACTGATACCCTCAGGTGAGGTGGAGATCGGAGCAGGAGCAAAGTCATTTTCATCCTCCTCTTCCTCGTTATCGGACGACTCCATCCCTTCCTCCTCCCTCTCAGCCCGCTCCACATCATGGATGCCCAGCAGCAGGCTGTAGTCCATGATCCTCATACGGACCAGGAACTGCAACAAGAGGACGCACAAGTTATGTCCAGGAAACAATGGCTGCATGCTACTTCAACACTGTTTCCTTACCTCGGTATCTCTGTTGAGCTTGTCCATGATCTTCTCCTTCTCCTCATCACTCACATAAACTTTTTGCATTTTATTCCTGAAGTCTACATCTTTGTATGTGGGCAGCTCCTTCACCTGGAAAAATAGAGTGAAGGTTTACATTACATTTAGCCAACTAATCACAATATTTATTGGCATTTTTTTCATTAAAACTCAGTCCTACTTCCAGTGACATAAAACTCAAATAACATTAACCGAAATCAACACAGTTGGAAAGATCAAAGGTTTCCAAAGAGCAGCTACTTCTCTGTCTTTTTATATCATTGTCATTTCTAAAAATCTAATATTAAAATCAAATTTGTCACAGTGCACAAACAACAACAACTACACAATGCAGGAAACTTTCAATTACCAGGGCAGACCTATTTGTTATCCCACAGTGTCTGCCCAGGAGAATATTGATTTTTTTTTTTTTTTATAAAATATATTTATAACTGTTGTGGGTGAATTAACTCAGATTTGGTTAAAAGGCAGACTCGTGATCTGATCTTGATTTGAGAAAAGAGTACTCCATCTACATCAATTCAGGCTCGACCCTCAACACAGCAGGTTGTACTTGGTGTGAGTAGGCTACATGTGTGAAAGTGAGACATGAAGAAAAAAAAAGTTTATTCAACACAATTTTTTTTAAAACAAATTTTACATGATTTTTAACATTTAAGGTCTGCCACCTCTATGAGCTACCTACAATATTTTACTTTTAGTGAAATAACTAAGAGTGGAGAATTAGTGGGCTTATGAATTTCACAGCCTAATGTTAAAACTTTGTGATTTGTAAATGTTGTCGTTTTTAGTTTAGTAGGACAAAAACAACGATTTTCTTAAACATGGATGATGCACAAAGACTGAGTTGACTGGTTAACTTGCAAAAACTTTAGAAGAATAGTTGGATATTGTTAGAAATACAATTAATCTTACGTTTGCCGAAAGTTAGATTAAAAGATTGATACTACTCTCATGGCACTTAAGGTTTGGGATTTTTGTTTTTTTAGAAATATGAATCACAAGCACTGAAGTGGTTCAGGGGGTTGTTAAAGGGGCATTCCACTCATTTTTACACGTGAACGTCAGTTTACTCTTCAGCAGAAGATAACAACCAAGCTGGTGAATAGAGTTGTATAATGTCTCGTGTGGCTCTGGAGGAGCTTACTTATGTCTGTGGAGGAGCTACATTACAGGAAATGTAGGATTCAGCATTTTTATGGGACTGCATTAGCACATGTAGAGCAGAAAACCAGTTTAGTGTATAAGAAATACAGAACTTAGAGTATCTCTTAGGTGACAACCTTATACGAGGTAGCTGTGCAATTATAATTTTTTTTTTAACTTTATTTCCATTATTTTACAAAATATCTGACCAGGTCACCATACAATTAAAGTTAGCAAGCTCAGTGGATACTACCCTTGCAGGATCTAGTGCATCATCATTTCAATGAGTCTGGGTCAAATAACATCAAAAAGAACAGGTTGATGTGAATTATATATGACTTTTTTCTGTTTGTGGCATCCATTTAACAAATGTGACAGCATCACTTTAGTAAATTACCAATAATCTACACAGTTGAAAGTAGGGCTCATCATACAACCTTTACCTTAATTTGCGCTCACCTTCTCTTTAAAACTTGCTTCACGAGACACAAGGGACCCCTGAGAAATAAAAAAGACCCCCACAGTCACTAATAGGTAACTGTTAGCCAAAATACTACAGAAACCATATTCACATATTACTTCACAAAGCTTTTTATCAGTCACAAGCCCCTGAAAGTCAGTGTCTTCATACATAATACATGAATGGCCATGAATCCAACAGTCTGTTTACTACTGAGGTGGTTTTGTATCAGGCATTACTTAAAGGCATGAAAGCTAAACATTTGTGAAATTATGGGGTGAGATTAAAGTGTGTTTCAAGTAAGAGACTTTAAATGTTCTAGCACAACCTATCTTCATGTGGGCAGCATTTGGTTCTTGACAAGACTCAAGAAAATCAGTTGGTGGAAAGAATTTAATATAATGAAATTTTATTTTTCCACACGTCCAATGACATGTCCAATGTTTTTCCATTCCAATGGAAAAATGAGACACTATGGATGCTTCAACACATGATCCACCAGACTGCAGGTGTCATTAACAACAAGTACTCTGTAGTGATTACAGTCTCTGAATCCTCAATTAGCTACGAGCCTCCTGCAGGATTTACCTTGAGGTCATATTTCCTGTGTACATGCAGTCTGTGGCTGAACATGTTCCTCATAACTAACAGGTAGGTGTCCTCGCTCTCCACAGTGACTCTGTACATGGCCAGGAACTGAGGGAGCAGCGTATTGCCGTGGCAGGTGACAATATGCTGGAAGAGAACAGCAATGAATATAGACAATGAATGATACAATAAAGGAGATAGATAGATAGACAGACAGACAGATAGAGTGAGTAACACTGAATATGTTTGTTTACAACTCCACAGGCCTTTTTCACAGAAGACATTTTGACATGCCACAGGAAGAACAGCACAGCAGTTTCAGGGTCCTGGTATTGTGCATGCTAGCTCACTGGCACAGTCTTGGCATACTGGGTCACTTAGAACAGAGTCATTGTTAATGTTATCAAGAATGCTTCTGCTTTTTCTGCTATGGCAAGTCAAAATGTCTGCCATGAAAAAGGCATATTAGGACAGAACAAATGTAAATATATTTCACTGCACCACGATTACATTTACTTTTATTCATTTGGCAGACACTTTTATCCAAAGCGACTTACATTTAAGGAACAACATGCAAGCAGAAATAAAGTAAGAGATCTACAAGTTGCAAAATATACTGTAAGAGCAGCAATGACTACTAGTAAGAGCTATAAACGCATACGGCATCAATTGGACACATACCTAGAGGAAGCAACAAGAGTTAATGGATAGCACAATCAATACAAGAGAATTTTAAGGAGATAGGAGAAGAAGAGCACAGGAAGTACATGTTAGAGTTGTTATAAGAGAAAGTGTTCTCGGAAGAGATGAGTTTTCAAAAGCTTCTTGACCTTATTTAATGATAAATAAACTGTCCTGATGCTTCATACTTGATAAGTAAAACTCAAATGTTTATTTCGCCAACATGTAAAGTGAAATATGATTCTCTGTGTACTTAAATGTCTTTAGAGAGTGCATTTTGCTTTTAAATCTGCTTTTCCCATCAGTCTGCTCATCATAAATGTCTGTATAAACAGTGTGTCATGAAAGTGTGTCTGTTGCTTTACATAAGATGTTTTTATGAACTAATTTTAAATGTACAAAAGAAGATATCTCTTCATGTACCATTACTTGTAGAAGAAAAACTCTCTGAAACTCAAACACTCATCTTTTAGCTTTGTTGTTGTAAAACCTTTGCCATGGCAACCAGGGTTATTACAAAAAGAGCCCATTTTATCCCAGTATACAAAAGACACAGGACAAAACGAGAGGAAAATATGTGACTAATGGAATGCATGTTCAGATTTTACTGACCGGGGTTAATAGACAAACTCACTAAAGTGTGGGGTTAAGATGATGTTTTTCTCGCTGTGTTAGTCCTACCTGGTGATACTCAGAGAGGATGTTGTGCATTTCCTCCACCTCTTCACTGGAGATTTCTTTTACTACCAAAGTGCGGTCGTATGATGTCAGCAGCAGCCCTACGCACTGCCCATCCTCATCTTTGAGTGGAGGACTGCGAGCCAGAGACACCTATTGTCGAGAGAAGAAAAGAAGAGAAAGGATCTCTGAGCACTGGCAACAAGTGACATCAGTCGTACAGTACATCTGCTCAGTGAAACATTTTACATCCATTACAACATTATAATGTGAATCTCAAACACAAACAGGCAAATTTATGTTGTGGATGTGTTTTGGATTAGTCTTAAAAATAAAAAAAATTACGATTTGCACTGACACACAAGGTGAAGACATTTCTTGCATCACTCTTGTAGATGTGCAGAAATACAACTTTCACCAGCACACACTTTAAAGTGCACATACAGTAAGTCTCACCTACGGTAATTGTGTGCTAAGCAAATGTGTCCTGAGCACAGTGGATGAGGACTCCGTCTGCCAGCTGGTGCATGCAAATATCACACAAGGAAATGCAAATTTTGAAGGGAGCAGACCAATGCATACAGATAAGTGTCTGGTTTTTATATATAAAAAACAACAACAAAAACATTCTGTCTTTGTGAAAGTCTGTGTGGCAGTTTTTCAAGCATCTTGTTACCTGCCTCATCTTATAAAAGCATTTTTGTCCACCTTTTTTTTCATTCCTTTGTTTTTTTGCACAATCAAATGTTAATTTGCGAGGGACTTTATATCACACCTGGTAATCTTGGTCCTCGATTCCGAAGCGCTCTCGCAGATTTCTGAACACCTGTGGACAATATTCTTTGAATTTGAACTGTCCTGGAAGATTCTCTCTGAGGAACAAAAACATTTGAATACATATAGTAAAATGAGAATAATAGAGCTGCAACATTCTTCACACAGCATCTGATCAGGAACTGCCCTTGACTGAGAGCTACCAGTCTTCCAATGCTTTATTAAATAAATATTAAAAGAGGTCCCCTACTTTAGATAATTAAGTTTAATGTGAACAAATAGAACATTTCAGTGCACAAAACTAACATATTTAAATCATGTGATCAAAAGGATAACATGATGTCTGACAGTTTTTGTAATTTTCCAAATTGACAATTGCATCTTTGCTTATGTGCAAACTATTTGACTGAATTCTTTTTTTGTGGTTTCCACATCAAGCAAGACGAGTAACACTTGAGTAAAACCTCGCCAAGGTAGCAGCACTTTAAGGTGAGAAAACATATTTTATTGTTCTTCCCACCTCTTTGCACGACCTGGATTCCTGACAGGATTAAAGGATTACTGAAATCTACTCAAGTTTTCTACCCCTAGAAATAGCATAGAAAATGCTTTTATAAATAAGTATTATTTTGAAACAAGCTCTTTCAAACACATCCACACAACATTTCCTGATGAATTTATGAATATTGTTATTTTCTGTCTTGTTATCTGAAAGTTATTAATGTTCGTTTTTACACAAGGTAGTAAAACAGCCCACTGGGTGGACGTTATGCAGGATTACCAATGTTAGTATATAGGCTAGTAGTTTTACATATAGCCTTGATAAAATTGCATACTGCAGACCATTGTCCAGACAAGCTACATTGTGATTACTTTCATCTTTTTGGATAGGTTCACAGTTATTGTTAGAGGTAAATCTATTAGGGTAGAAAAGCAGTGTTGTTCTAAAGTGGACTGCAATTTAAACACACGCAGGCAAATAAATCAGTGCAAATGACAGGAAGCAGGATGAAGGCTCCTGGCTGTTGAGTTGAGCACAGTACTTGTTGAAGAGGTGGTTGTTGACTTTGATCTTAGTGCTGGCTTTGAAGTCATCTGGAAGCAGCATGACAGGTAAGGGCACCTGGCTCAGGTCATTAATCTGGGCATGATCAATAGATTCATAATTAATAAGCATACACACACACAGACCAATAGAAACATGCAGTGGACTTACAACATTAGGCAGTGCACACATACCCACCGAATGGTTGACTCCCCACATCAGCACGCTAAACACGGGGTCACTGACACGGAAAACCTCCACTTTCTGCTGCACAAAGTGTTTCTTCTTCGTCTTCCATGTGGGCGCCAAAGCATGCAGAGAGTTGGGGGTGGCACCGGGGGAAGACATCGCACTTTCACACTTATCCGTGTCTCAGTCTGTGTGCAAGGTTTTAGTTGGCATCTGTGACGTCCTGTTTATGTAAAGTAGCCTGAAGTCCGCCTTGTGGAGCCTCAGCAGCAGCAGCAGCAGCCTGCTGGCGCTGTGAACCCACAGACACCTCCTGCTCAGTGCAACAACAATGCAAATCACAGCAGGCGCAGAATCAGCATTGCACTCAGAAATAATCTTTACTAATCTTGTGCATGTGAGGAGTGACTGCTTTTTCTTATAATAATTATAGTTCAATAGTTCAGCCAAAGAGTCATGTTCCCTTCTTCTATTGGCACAAAGAGCTGAAATGATCCAGCATTTCTCTGGAAAAAAAGAGAAGTGTAACATGACGTAAATCATCTTAATCACCCCTCAGATTTATCTTGGGACCCTATGGGGGGGTCTTGACGCTCAGGTGTAGAACCACTTTCATAAGGTGTACTTCCTCCATTTATCTAAATGAGATGGGCAACATATTACAAACCCCTTTCAATAAAGTCCAAATACAAGTAGCCTCAAAAAAAGACATTTTAAGTAATATAGTATTTATTACAAGGCTTTTATGGACACTATTGTATTTTTCTTATCTGTTGTGTTGTGAGATCTCAACACACCTTTAATCTTCTTTCTGTTAGATTTTGTGAAAAGAAGCATAGGTACTTAAAAAAAACGTGTGTTCATATGACACATATAAAGGGTCTCACGTTAGTTAATAGTTTTAGGCTTTCTATGCTGTAGTCATAATTCTGTACTTGTGTTACATGTGATGTTGTACTCTCCGACCCTGCAATGATTCACAATAAACACGAGTAGGTGAGATGCTGCTCCACAGAAGTCTTAAAAGTTGTGCCTTCTTCTTCTTCTTCTTCTTCTTCTTCTTCTTCTTCTTCTTCTTCTTCTTCTTCTTCTTCTTCTTCTTCTTCTTCTTCTTCTTTGATGTTGCTTTATGGTCTATTTGGATTTAAATCTTGAGCAAAGTCATTTTTATTTTTTAAAAAGGTAGCAAAATGTTCTTTAAATGTATAAACTCCAAAAAGCATCCAACCATTATCCATCCAATTTCTCTCGTAGACATGTTACAATACTGCCCGTCAGTTAAACACACGTCCACTTACTGATCAAGAGGCATATTTTCTTGACAAATGCCAAAAAAAGAAACACATACTAATAATGCCCCCATCTAATTCTGCATTAGATGATCAGGCTTTTCAAATAATACCTCTGGCGTCTGCTCTCATGGGCAACCACTGATAAATTACTTATTCAAATTGCCAGCAACATTAACATAAATAGAATATCATATTCAAAGTAACATAAATAGGATTACATCTAGAGATTATGTACAGCAATTACAGTAACACAGTTACAGTGGTTTCAAAGTTAAAAAAATACTGAAAATATACGTATAAATATGATACATTGGTCCAAATCATACTGTTCCTGAAACAAATGGAGTCAGACTGTTGAAACTTGAACAACCTGAATATGTGAATCCCATACTGTAGGTGCGGAGTTAATTTAGTGGGTAAGAGACCGTTCAGGTAACTACAGATTGCCTCAACAAAGTCTCCTACTACAATGTGACACTTGGCCCGGATCATTCCACATGTTGATATAAATTTGATACACTATACTTCTCCATCTAATATAGTAGATGTGGAAGGAACATCTAATTAATACAGTCCTAATATGTTCAGTAGAGGGCGCAAGGAGACAAAGTTACACCGGATTTCGAAGCAGCTTCTCATTGGTAGAGAGCTGCTGGCTGCTGGAGATGTGAGACTGTGTTTGGCTCCTTTAGACTCTGTGTGGTGTTCCTTCATCTTTTTCTCATATGGGCAAATGAAGCTTCAGCCTCCTCTTCTCCAGCCCAGGCTGAACCCATTCTAACAACTCAGGCCGCCCCTCTGTTTAGTGTTTGAGGAGACTGGCATGCCGTTCCGATCCACACACCAGCACTTGCCCCGCTGCTTACCTCGAGACGACCAACACTGCACAAACAGAACACACAAACAGGTCATTTTTGAAGATAGAAATACAAACCACACGTCAACCACAAAGGCTTGTAAAGTGACTTCTCTGGTTTACTGTAATTAGTCTTAATTTGCAAACTCACCTGTTTTTTTCTGAAGAAGCCACGTTTGTCACAGTTGGGCATGTAGATATCCTGATTTGAGTTAAATAAATGGGCATCAAGACCTGTGATAAGTGTAGTCAGCAGTTTGCGACACGGGGCCTGTAGAAAGAGACCAACAGATACACTGAGTGTGAGCCTGATTGCATGTTATTCATGTACGCTTTCTCTAAATTATTGAGGTCATTAGATGAAGAGGATTTTTACCTCATCTGGATCCTCAGTAGGTGCTGGGTCTAGGATCAGAGACAGACAAAAACTCTCAGCATTGATCACTTATTACTGTGTGAATACCTTTTTTTCAACAACAATCATTTCCTTTCATTGTGAGGTCAGCTCCAGTTATTCTTTTTTCTCCTCAATAACAGCTTTTAGATGTGTTGTTGTTTTTTTATAATGTTCTTCCCTCTTAGTTAACTAATTGCACCAATCACACTACAAATATATGCATAATAAAACCCATATTGAAAAACAAATAAGTTATACTACTCACTACTAGTCACTGATGTTTTTGTGTAACAGGATGTGAGCAGTTGGGCAATGGAAAAAGAAACTGTGTAAACACAGGTGTGTTTCTCTGCTCAAATATTCGCTTGACTATTACAAACTCATGATCACACGCTACAGGAAGATTTATTGAACTTGTTTGTTGATTAAAGTTGAAATGTCAACCACTGACAAATAAATTAGCAACAGGTGAGTTTCCCGACACCATGAACCTGTATGCCCAAAGCCTGAAGGACTGCTTCATTCAGTGTGAACCTTACCTACAGTGTGACTATTGTCGGTCAGGCTGATGTTGCTGGCATTAATGCAGACCCCCCTGCCTTCCAGCAGGGCACGGAGGGGCCTCGGCTCATCCTCTGGAGGTGCACAACGAAGACCATGGGCACAGCTCAGAGTGTAGACCCCACATGGTTCTCCAACGGCCAGAGAGGTGGCGTTTAAATCAACAGATGGCTGAGTCTGTGTGGACTTTGGTTTACAGGTGGGACATCCTCTGGACGGCGTGGTCAGCGGCACTGGGCTCGAAAGAGCCGGCTGCAGGAGGAGCAGCAGCAGGGTGTTTAGATACAGAAGCATCTCACACTAAAAGCTGTAAATAGTCCACTCTCCTACAACCTATGAGGATCTCAGATTAGATCCACCGACTGCAATTTGTCTGTGTGTCGCAAGGTGGTTAGTAATTCCCTCAAGCCAAGACAAAGTGATAATGAGGCTGACAGACACCACTGGCAGCAGCTTTTAAAGAGCCCAAACCAGTGGGGGAAAGGTATGGGAGGGTACGTGATGGAGAATGTTAGTTTTCCTTCATCATTTCCACACACCCAAGCACACCCCGTTTCCCCTTGTCTCTGACACATACACACTCACGCATGCTCATTCCATATGTTGTCTGTCATCTTGCAGGATAGTAATGTTTTCTACAGCGACATAAATCAAAAGTGACTGCTGTGTATGCTCCTCCATTGCTCTGCCTTTTCCCCACCGAGGGGGTTGTTTATTTACAGAGGCGACACTTTCATGTAATCAACCAATCATGGCTCAGCCGGCAAGAAATTCACCATTCAAGTTTTTAAATGACTGCCATTCATCATAAAACAACAACAACATCAATTTGAATGTAGCCACATGTCTGTACAGAATTGATAAGATTCTGTGTCTTATAATCAGTCACCATTAGTTCAAGCTGAAATCTAAAAGGACAAATCAAATAAAAGTACAAAATGAAATGATATCATAAAGCCATGAGCAGTGGTGGAATCTAACTAAGCACATTATTCAAGAACTGTATTTACTGTAATGTTACACATTGTGAGATTGTCAAATTTAATACAAAACAGGTAAGCTCAAATTAAACCATTTTTTTGTACATTAATGGCTTAGTTGTTTTGCATCAGTACTGTGCAATGTGAGCTGATAATAGTACCCTGAGCATGATTTGAAATGCAGTTAAGCACATACATTCAGTAAAAAATTAAAATACTCAAAATAATACATGTACTGTGAACAAAAATACCCAATCACAGTAACAGGAGTAAAAGTAATTCGTTTCTTCCACCCTTTTCGTCCTTGTTTTTGACTTTGTTATGACTTATTTAAATAGCAACCACTAAACAAACACTTTGTTCACTGAGTGTGTTTACGGAGTCTGTAACTGCAGGGCTTGAGATTCAGAGGAAATGGCCGACACTAAGAAGCTGAAGGAGTGCCACTCAAGGTTGGATGACTAAGACATTAATAGCCACGAGCAAAAAGTCCCACCCTGCAAATTCCACCGTCTGTGAGTCACAAACAGATTTAATTAGAAGACTCGATCTTAAAAATCTGACAGCCTGTCCTCTAACTTGAAGTATTAATATCCAGCTCGTGACTGCTTTGTCTCAGATACAAATATGTTATTACAAAGGCAGCCCAATACCCATTGACAGAAAGAATATGTTGACTTAAATACCCCTTAAGTAGAGGTTAGACACTTTGATCTGAAAAGGTAGACCGCACCGAGTATCAGTTAGGGTCAGGCAATACGACCATATATAGTAATTTCCCATTTATCCCTTAATACTTTTGGATGCACAAGGCCTCTGTGGGCGATGCTGATTTCATTGGATTAGTTTGCATTATTGTTTATTTATGATTGTTGCTATGTTTTATTGTTGCTGCTTATTTTCCATTATATGCTTTTGCATGTTAATATTAAATCAAATGTACTCATTTATATCAATATCATAACATAAAATTACAACGTGATGGAAGGTTTTATCCATACTGCTCACCCCTTGTATCATTTACCAGTAGGAAGATATGCTCACAACCACATCACGTACAGAGAGATTTTTGGTAAGATAAAAAGAAACTTCATCGAACTATCCTCCTTATTAAAGAGCCTTACTGGCTAAAAAGTAAGCTACTTTGTGATTCTTGCCTTTGAAAAAATAAAACAATAGCTATTTAATTAAATATGACTGTAAAGTAGTCATTTCTTACTGCTTTTAGAACATCAGACAGTTATATTATAATTTTCTTTATTTAAAAAAGGTTTTCATAAAAACTGCTTGGCATGAGGTGACTGCTTCTTTTCTGACAAGGTCTTAAAGTCTTTCCCCTCCAGATTTTATTGATCTATGTGTAGTAAAATACACTACTCAAAATAATTAAGGGAACACATAATACTAATAATAATAAATTGAATTTGTATAGTGCTTTTCACAAACTCAAAGTTGCTTAAAACACATCATAATCTTTAGTGTACATTGTCTTGTCTTGACACCAAAATCACCAACCAATTGAGGGCTGGATTCAAAATCACACCAAAAATCTAAGTAAAAAATCTAATCACAGGCTGATCCAACTTTCGTGACTAAAGGCGACTCTTAAAATGACACAGTAGTGTGTTCGGCTCCCACAAGCCTGTATGCACTCCTGGCAACGTCTGATGAGACAACGGATGGTATCCTGGTGGATCTCCCACTAGACCTGGATAAGGGCATTAGTGAGCTCCTGGACAGTCTGTGGCACTACTTGGCGGTATCAGATGCACAGATACATAGAGTCCCAGAGGTTCTCAATTGGATTCAGGTCTGGGTAACGTGAGGGCCTGTCAATGGCATCAATGCCTTCATCGTCTGGGGAACTACCTACACACTCTGGCCACCTGACGGGCATTGTCCTACAGCAGGAAGAACCCAGGGCCCACTGCACCAGCGTAAGGTCTGACCATGGCTCTGAGGATTTCATCAGCAGCCGTCAGGGTACCATTGGCTAGCACATGGAGGTCTGTGCGGCCCTCCAAAGATACCTCCCCAGACCTTCACGGTCATGCTGGATGATGTTACAGGCAGCATAACGTTCACCAAGGCGTCTCCAGACTCTTTCACTTCTGTCACATGTGCTCAGTGTATACCTGCTCTCGTCTGTAAAGAGAACAGGGCGCCAGTGGCGGACCTGCCGATTCTGGTGTTCTCTTGCCACCTTCATGAAGTTTGGACAGAAACATGCACAACAGTAGCCTGCTGGAGGTCATTTTGTAGGGCTCTGGCAGCACTCCTCCTGTGTAGATACTAGTCCTGCTGCTGGGTTGATGCCCTTCTATGATCCTGTCCAGCTCTCCTTTTCTAACGTCTCCTGGTATCTCCTCCATGCCCTTGAGATTGTGCTAGGAGACACACCAACCCTTTTGCAACGGCATGCATGGATGTGTCATCCTGGAGGAGCTGGACTTGCTGAGCACCCTGAATGGGCTGCAGGTACCTCATGCTACCAGTAGTGACAAGAACACTAGCAAAACACAAAACTAGAGAACAGTCAGTCAGGAAGGATAAGGGGAGAGCGAATGTATATATGAAAGTTTAATTGACTCGATGTTATACAGTTATGATTATGATGAAGTGTTTCCCTAATTTCTTTTGAGCAGTGTATATTTAAAGGGCGTGTAACATCTGCTGTAAAACCAAAGAAAAATCATTTTTTAACAGCTACACACACACACACACACACACACACGGTACTGCACAGGTTAAAGACTACTCACTGTATTTATCCTCTGATGTGATTGGTTGGGAGGGCGGGACTTCCGACAGCGCAGGTTGGACATAAAGTGACAGACTTCACCTCCTTAAAATTGGAAGAAAAGCCGAAGGACGACGCGTTACACGTTTCAAAACAGTAAGGAGCCATCACGAGACAAACATGGTTTGAATGGTTTGTGAATAACCTGAGATAAAGTCACGTTTACAGTACAGTATTAGCCATAATGCGCGATAATGTTGTGTCACTGAAAGCAGCTAGCCGGCCAACCGAGTCCTGCCTGTAGTCTGGGAAATGCGAAGCTGCGTTTAGGGTAGGCTCGTACATAGGTACACGGGAGAAGTTGACACGCAACTAAAAAATATAATGGGGCGAAAGCTGGCATATTTGTTTACTTTAAAACACGTTACCAATTAGATCCTCAAATGTTTTATTCAGTCGTGTTTGGGCTGGTAACTTGGTTTTATTATCACTTTCGAAACACTAGACCATAATTCCACAGTTCAATGTCTTAAGAGCAACAGACAATCATGCTTTCTATAATGAAACTGTTTTGTCTGTGTAATACTACGCGGGGGCCTACTGTACTGTAATGATCCCCCACTGAACCAGCGAACATAAACAAATCCACACAGTAAAATACTTTTGTTGTGAGTTATGAATTTGAATGGAAAAACAAAACCTGATTGTTTTTAACAAGCTGCCTTCACCTGATACACCCTGGCTTTGATTAAATAACGTGGCACAGGAAAAAACCTAATGAACCACATGTACGCTAGTACACTAGTGTTTGTGATTGACATGGGCTATATATTTTAAATAATTTCAAAAAGCTAATCATTCCTTAGTTCCTGTATTTCAGGTTTGCAGAGTTTCTGGTTTTCTTTGTCTATAGTTAACTGAGTAGTTTTAAATAGTTGTTCTGACATTTTATATACCAAACAATTGATTGATCAATCGTGCCTGCTGGCAGTGTACAGTCACTGCCCAGGCCTTTGCTTGTCTCAGGAATGTGGGATTAAACGTAAATGGAAAATCACAAACACAACGACTCCTCACGGGAAGGGTTTGGTTTGAGGTTCAAACCCAGGTTCTTTCTTGTTGTCTGGCAACATGGGTAGTCATGTTGTGGTCAGGGATGTTTGCTGTGTTTTTAAGGAAGACCTGTACTGTTACTACATTATAACTTATCCCTTTTCCCAACAGCTCTTATGGCTATAATGGTTGACTGAGCAAACACTGGAGACATTTATTTAAATATTACAGTCAAAACATCATCAGGCACAAAGTATTTACATAAATTGATTTGTGATTTTTGTCTTCAGATAAATATCTAATGTAATATCTCTAAAGCAGTAATACATCTTTTTGATGGGTTGCCCTGTGTCCTAGATTGTGATGATTTTCAGACATGGACGACATAAACCTTCATTATCGCTTTCTGAACTGGAGGAGGCGAATTCGAGAAATTCGTGAAGTGCGAGCAGTGCGATACCGGGAGCGGCTCAAAAGGATGCTGAGAGACGGAGACATTCTGAGGTAACAGTGATGTGGCGATGTCACCATTAGAGTTTGAAATGATGTTGTTTAGTCCCTCATTTTATGCTAGAGCTCTTCCTTCCTTTTTCGCAGAAGTCAAGATTATAGTTAAGTTTTGTTTCTCTTTTTGTATCACTTCGTAGGTATCATGGGAATTCAGATGAAGTTGGCTGTTTTGTGGCGGCCAGGCCATTGTCTAGAAGAAATCGCTATTACGAAGTAAGAGTTGATCATATCCTTTCAGTTCATGGCTATTAATTCTACACAGGAGCGCCAGTGTAATCCAACATGTTTTCTGCCATTCCCACTAGTTATAGTCTGTACTGTGTTGACCAAAGGTGGGTAGAGTAGCCAAAAACTGTACTCAAACTTTGCGAAATCAAGTTAAATAAAAAGTGGTCATCAAAATAACTGCTTGAGTAAGAGTACAAAAGTATTTACTGAAAAAAATTACTTGAGTAGCAAATAACTTTGATGTGGCTGTGCATCTATTGATGGTCTTCCTCAGTTAAAGATAAACAACTCTTATATTCATTTGTGATGAAATGACAAGTCGTCATCTCCTGATTAGATAGCCACATATAGAACCGGACATTATATCCAGTCTGTAGCTCTCAAGTGTGATTACAAAATACTACATTAATATTATAGTCTGTTAAGTGAGTTAAGTGAAGACTGTTTAAAAATATACATTCTTTTCTTGTCTTATAAAATAAATGATGATTTGGTATGTTATCTTATTCTTAACTTTTACCTGAGGAAGATCATCTGTGGTTGAAACATAATATCAGTCACATCCACATGAAATAAGAGTAGTTAGTCTTTTTCTGTGTTTGCATAATTTCGTCTCTCTTCAACAGGCTGCACCAATGAGCATGACTAGTTAAATGCACACTGCATGGACACTCAATATTTACATTAAGGCAGCAAACAGACACTGCTTTCTGTCAGCTCAGCGCCAGCATGGTTCCATCCCAGGGCGTCATACTGACGCTTAGAGAAAGCCTGACTGAAGCTTTGATATATGACGCACTGGAATGAGACCAGGCTGGCTGTACTGTGCACTAAATTTATATCTGTAAATATTAGCTGCTAACACTATTTGAAAGCCATACTACCATGCTGTAGCTTCATTGTTCTGCTCTGAGTCACGAGGATGCGTGACTGCATTAGGATAAGAAGCACTAGCAGACCACCTACCTCTTAACAGACCAGGAATGCATAAAATAATAAAGAAAGAAAGGTAGCAGGATGAATGTATCCAAATGTAGCTGAGTAAAAATAATGATTTTATTTATTTTTTTTTTTAAATCTACTCAAGTAAGATGTGCAAGTATGATGCACTAAAACTACTCTGACAAGTACAATTTACTCAAAAAGTTACTTGTACATGTAAAAGAGTAAATGTAACTCGTTGTTACCCACCTCTGCTGTTGACTGCTCAGCTGTCTAATTTTGACAGGTTTTGATTTAGAAGTCTTTTAATTATGACCTTATCTAATATAAGTTTGAAAATGAGAAGGATGCGGTAATCAAACAGCCCAATTGCTCAGAATTATTTTAACATAAGTCACTTTGTTCTAAATGCAAGTGAAAAAGAATTAATCAAGAGAGGTTAAGTTGTACATACAGTACATATTATATGTAAATATCTGTATCTGCTGTTCTACAGTGAAGTTTTGACACGTGAGCTGTGTCTTCATTTCCACAATACATATTCATTCATTCATTCTTTTGTCATTGATGGACCTGTGTTCTCCTACAATCCAGTGCACAGCAGAATGGAGGAGCTCCTCAGAGCTGGAGAAAACTAAAACAATTTTCAACCACAAGACATTGGTTTTCTTGTAACTGAGGTTTCAGCTCTGACACATTTCAGAAAGAAGAAGTATTATTATTTGGTCAAAACATTCTGCAGTATATTTTAGACTGTCAGGAGTGATCCACTGTCTTGTGTCATATCCAGTCATCAGTAGATTCATTTCTTGTATACTTACTGTCAAAACAGTGTACTGTGAACATTGTGATGGTAGCGTTATGTATTTATAGTTCTATATTTTAGAGCCTTAGTATTTCTTGTGGATTTATGACACAGCCCTTGTTCTGTGTTGATAAGAGGAGCCTTGGCAGGCCATAGTGTCTGACTGGTTGATTTCATCTTGTTGATCCACAATGAAAAAGAAATCATGACACTTCCTGGGAACAGCACGTATCTGAGAAACAAAGCTCTGTTGAATTACTTGGCAGGTCTATCATACACTGTGTGTGCTTGGACAGGGCGTCAAGTAATTGCAGAAGCTAATGCGGATTCTTCAAGTCAGATATGCCATAATAATTTACACCAAAGTCAGAAGCAGGGCCAGTCGCAGCACATAAAATAGCAACTAGCACTTTGTTTTTGCACCTTTTCTTGAACAACTTTGATGTTAGGTTAGGCTGTTCAGTCAACTTAGCAAGTTCAGTTAGGGTGCAAGAAAATATGTCTTTTGATTGTGTTGTTTTTACTGTAAAGCCTTCGTCTTAAAAAGCTCAGTAGATCACACGCACATTTCCCGCATTTTTTAACATTGTTAAACATTACATTAGTTTATTTATGTTGATTTACGTCATACAAATTGTCATTCAAATGGTGTTATAAGCCCCGGTCCCCCTCATTTACTGTCGCTGTGCCTCAAGCCTTCCACTTCTAGCATGGCACACGTGACGTTTGGTTTCAAATAGCCGAATAAGTCGCTGCTCATTTCAAATCATGTGGTGGTTTGTTGATTTCACTGTTCTTGGTAATCTCGAGACTGTAGTGCACAAACATCCCAAGACAGTGACTGTTTCTCAGAATTAACCATGTTCAAACTTGCCTAACACACTTCCTGCCCCCGGTCTGACGTGTAGTGAAACAGTAACTAACACTCTCAACCTTTATACTTACGTGCGCTTCATTATGGTGACTCACTTTGTGGGAGTCACGTAGGATGGAGGAATAGTCTGTGTACATAGGCGTATGAGCTATTAAATGATAGCGAAGTGGATACTGATGGTAGATTTAAGGATTCATCTGCATGTTTTACACTGAAGCAGAAAAAAAAGGGATGGATTACTTCTCACTCTCAGGAGACCGATGTTGAGGTCATGGGAAAGAAGTTTCCTCTTCTCCTTGCCCTGGATTTGCCAGCAGTGCTCAGATTGCAGTGTGTCCATGTAGGGCTCCCTAGGGATGATGTCATATGGTCAGTATTCGGTTATGATAACAGTGGGGAAGGCAAGCTCTTTACTTTTTACAACATGCAGTTGTTTCAGGTTGGTTTGGAAATTTCATGAAGTGAAAAGAGAAGCAGTGCCAATCCAAAAGCAGGATGTAATGGCATGTACAAATATGAGGTGGAGCCTGAAGGAGCAGAGCATGAAATCTGTAAGAATTAGAGGTAGACTGGTCCACGAATTGGACTGAAATATCTCGGCAACTGTTGGATGGATTGCCATGAAATTTTGTACAGACATTTATGGTCTGCAATTCATCCCTCTGACTTTGGTTTGTCCAATACTTTATGTTTATAACTAAATACCTGAAATGTGACATTCCCATCAGCCTCAGCTGTACTTTGTGTTTAGCGCCAATTAGCCAATATTAACATGCTAACACGCTGAACTAACATGGCAAACAAACATATCTGCAAATCATCAGCATGGCAACATTGTAATTGTGACTATGTTGCCATGCTAGCATTGGCATTTAGCTCCAAGCATTGCTGTGCCCAAGTACAGCTTAACAGCGCAGCTAGCATATCTGTAGACTC